GTGTTCAAAGTAAAGGATAATATTTTGAAGTGGGTTAACAGCAACGCATCTTTTGCTAGAGCAAATTTCTGAACTGTAAACATTTGTTGTATTTTTTTCAATCACAACACGTATCTCCCCAGTGCCTGGGAAGGATGGCACCTGGCAGGATAAGTCACAGAAGGCCTCATGGAGGAGAGGGGGAAGACACCATGGAGCTTCAGACCCAGAGGACCGGAGAGTTCGAGGAGACAGGGCAACAGCTCTGCAGAGCCGGCTCCCCTGTGTCTGGAAGCCCACACCTCACAGGACTCACACTGAAGTCTGGAAGGGGCGCAGGTCTCAGCCTGGCCCCCAGGGCAGCAGCCTCCCCTGGAACTCAGTAGCAGCCCAAATTCCTAGGCCAACTCCAGGCCCAGTGAGTGAGAAGCTCTGGACTGGGGCTCAGCAAGCGATGGTTTTAGGAAACCTCTGGTGATTCAGATGCATACTCAAGGCTGAGAACCATAGATCATAAGGCACAGCTGTCTCTCCAGATGTTGTCTCTCCAGCTGTGAGCTTTAAGGCCTCTCTTCCCACCTCAGATTGGTCTCTTCCTGCTCCATCTGTCCATGTTGTTCCTCCTTTCCTGCTACCCCACCTCAGACACACAGGTGCACACGCACTCCCATTTATGATCAGCCAAACCCCAGTTACAGTGTTCAGAGAAAGAAACTAGCCCCTCTTTCCTTCTCTGGACTCTTCATTTCCTGATGTGCACCTACTGAGGTGAGGGGCAGAATCTTAACAATGGCTGGCTAGGAAGCAACACCACCTCCGCAGCACGTTGTGCTGTGGTATGTTTACCGCTCACCATTCTACATATAATTTTTAGTAATTCAGTTCACTTGTTTAAATCACTTCTTTTTATCTGCATTTTTTCGTTCAGAAGGGAGAGGTTTATTCTACAGACCACTGGGGCCTCTGGTGGCAACTGCATGTAATTTCTGACTGGGATTTTTATTCTGGGAGTTTTAGGGAAAGGACATCCACGTCCTTAAATTTTCACCTATTTGATAGAAACATGAAATAGTATCAAAGCAAGAATTTTATCCAGCTAGATCAAATCAGCCTCTGAGGCAAAATTTCTCCCAGTGTTGGCTTTGGTGTCTTGCATGTATCAGGCTGCACACAGAGTGTGCACATCAAGGTGACATTAGCCAAGTGGAGTGCACACGGTTTTGCACTAAAATGATAACGGTGGTACACACACACACACATGCACACACTTCTTCCTCTATGATAAAATCATGGGCTTTGAATTTTAAAAAGAGACAGCTAGGAAGCTCGGGCAAGGTGGCACATGCTTGTAATTTTGGTGTCTGGAAGACTGAGGCAGGAGGATCACACATTCAAACACAGCCTGGCCAATTTAATGACTTAGTCAAATCCTATCTCAAAATAAAAATAAATTTTAAAGGGCTGGGGATATAACTCAGTGTGAGATACCCTGGATTTGATCTCCAGGACTTTAAAAAAAAAGACAATCAGCAGGCTTCCGGTTCTGTGGCTTAACACAAAACCAGCTGGGAACACACACACTGAGAAGGGTGCCTGACAGCTTGAGCCTGCGTCCCTCCCTCCTGGCCTTGGTAGAGACTACACTGAGCCGACACTCCCCTCAGATGCTTTGAACGCGTCATTTAAATAGGTCCCTCCTCCGGGCTCTGGAACATTCCTTGGCTCTCAGCCGACCCTGGCTCTGGGGGTGGTCAGCCCAGGATGACCCCCTCCAACACCAGGGTGGCAAATAGCACTGCCCATTCCTGCGTCAGCTTACAGCTGTCACCTGTCGAGCGCTTTGGCCAGGCTGTGAAGCTTACTCTGCAATATCCACCTGCCAGGGGCAGGGCCTGTCGTGCCCCAATCTCGGGCTAAAGGACACCTACAGCCATCTCTCCTTTGGCAAGGACTCTGCTGCCCAAAGCACCGTGGCCTTGCAGCCTCCTCATCTGCAGTCTGCTGCCTCCATCTCAGTTCACCTGTGTGGCCACCCCAAAAGATGCCTGCCTCGGAGGTTCGGGGGCCCACTGTCCTCATTCATCCCCAAGATTAACTCTGCTGATGCAGACAGTCTCATGCCTAGTAACAGGCCACAAACACAGCACCCCCTGTAAGCTGCCCGTAAACATATCAGATGCGGTTCTCAAGTTCAGCCCCATCCCTTGGCTGTCTCTTCTGCAGGGTCACCTGAGGCCACTGTGAGCTTCATTCACTCCATCTAAGGGTTCTTTCAAGAAAAGACAGTTTTCACTTGCTCCTCACCAAGTCCTTCCCTTGAGGAGGTCCTCTTCATCCCGCACCCAGCTGCTTTAAGATCGACGTCTATCTCTACATCAATTTGTCTGTGTGTCTAATACGCCTTGCAAAGAAAAATGCATTCAAGCCTTTGCCGCGTGTGTGCTTACATTTATAACATTGGACTCTTGACAGATTCTTGATGAAGAGGGGTTCATATCCCCAGGTGCATCTCAGGTGCATCCATCTTGAGCTAATCTGTGCTTGGGAGGCAAACAAAGATGCTATTCACTAAATCAGCAGCTCCCCTTTCACTGGGATCAAGTTCAAACTGAGAGTTTCCTTGCAGAGCTTAAGGGGAATATTCCAAAAAGAACACAGGCTGCAGTGCTGGAGGGAAGGACGTCCCCAGGCCACCTGTCACCTGGGGAAGATGCTCCCTCCCTGAGCCTCAGAATTTTCAGATGTAAATGAGGCAAACGCCTTTGGAGTGCTGGGAAGATTCTGGGAGATGCTGTACTGTAAATCACTAACACAGACCTGCTAGCGCTGGGTATTCCACTGACGGGGTTATTATTCCAGCATGCTTTGACAGAAGCCACAATTTTCCCACTGAGCACTTCAAACAGGCACTCTCCTCAGCCTTTGAGGCGCAGCAGCATTCGCTGCTCCTCTGAAGCATCTGACCCTTCTCTGCACTCAGCCTTCGCCCTCCACCTCCTCTACCTGGGGCCTGGGGTAGGTTAGGTGGCCCCTGTCTCCCAACACCCCTCAAGGCTGCGTTTGCTGATGTTGCTCAACTGTGCCCTTGATTCCTCTACCTGTGTGCATCTTCACTGAAGTACAAGTGCCCAGGAGCACTCGCTATGTCTGCAGGCCTTGGTTGGCACAATGTGGGTCAGAAAGACACAGGGAAGGAAAGGAGGAAGGAAGGAAGGAAGGAAGGAAGGAAGGAAGGAAGGAAGGAAGGAAGGAAGGAAGGAAGGAAAGAAACAAACAAACAAACAAACAAAGAAACAAAGAAGGAAAGGAAGGAGGGAGACAGAATAAACTATTAGCCAGTTCCTTCAGGAAGAAAAAGTAAAATCCAAGGAAATTAACAGCTGCATTAACTATTTTGTATTCTCATGAATGTTTCCTTGAAAAACAAAATCAAGGCCAAGAGTTTAGTTCAGTGGCCCAAGCACCTGCTAGGAAAGCGCAAGGTCGTGAGTTCAATCCCAGGTACAAAATTAATTAATTAATTATAATTAATTTCAATTATAATTAATTATAATAAAAACAAAATCAAACAGAACAAAACAAACATTAAATCTGTCCCCAAGAACTCTAGTGTCCCAAAATGCTGCATAGAATTACTCAATTTCTCTTTCTGACCGTTGTAAACTGTGCTTATCATGTTTGATATCCTTCTAATTCTTAAATTGACTTAGTCACGGAACTCCTAAAGAAGGAGCATGTCTTTAGCTGAAGAGAGTTAATAATTTACTAGTTGCAAACTGTACTTTTACCCTGAAGACCAAGTGGGAAAAAAAACATTACTCACGTTTTTTAATCTAAGAATTTCATACATTTTTATGGCCCATCCTTTGAGCTTATTTATGACTGTTTGTGACAAAAAGACTACTTTTTCCATTATGATTTATACTCTATCAACAAAGGAAACACAGGGAGAAATAAGAAACCCAAATTAAATCATGACACTAGATAAAAATCTCAAATTAAATCAAGATGCTAAAAAAATTGACGGTAAGGGGCTGACTCGTCATTTAAAATTAAAACAAAGAAGTCTTATAGACATTAATGACTGTGAACAAAGAAAATTTCAAACCAACCCTACAAAATCTAACATTTGCCAAATTTGTAAAAATCTACATCTTGTATTTTGGATATCATGAAATAAGACTTGAATATAAAATATTTACATTTTAATCTGTTTTTGCCCCTGCATCTGTTTGAAAAAAATCCAGTATTTTTGGTGTCATAAATTGGCATCGGTTGGCAACAGTACTTTTCTATACTTTCCATTAACACTAGTTACCACAAACTTGACCTAGATATCTGTTTTCATCTTTTAGTGACCCCTTTAAAAGTTCCTTGATGGTGAAAGCCAATTCTAAAACTTGATTGGATTTCATAGAAAGACAATTGACTTAGAAGAAAGAAATTGAAAGAATCAAGAGGGAAATGCCTGCCCTTGAGCTTGCTGAATGAAAGCATTGTTTATGATGGAGGCCAAGGGTTAGTTCAATAGAATAAGTCGTCAATAGTGTGTGCTTAGCAATCTAAATACTACACAGCTATCCACCACCTGAATAAAAGATAACACCCAGCTTAGGAACCCTTAATAAGTGGAGTTAATATAACCTCAGAGCTAATTAAGGACAACCATGGTCACAGAGGACACCTGGTTCCACTAAAACTACCATCTATTTGTACAGAACATGGCCTTCCAATGTGCATGGACCTTGGAAGCTGAGCAAACACTGGCCACAGACTTACAGATAATGTGTTACACTTCATTTCTCACCACGCATCCGAAGGACAAAATCTGGGCATGGTGCTCAATTGTGAGTCACTTCCTGGCTTCCTACATAAGATAAAAAGAACTGGGTCCGCAGACATAGAGACAAAATGCCTGTAGTTTTTAAATTTTGTTTTGCATATACCCCCAACACACACATACACGCACACTTGTCTTAGTTACTTTTCTTCTTGCTGAGACAAATACTCAACACCAAAAGTTAGAAAAGGAAAAGTTTATTGTAGCACAACCAGCTCCAACGCACTGCAGAGCAGAAAACAGTCCACAGCAGGCAGAAGGCAGCAAAGCACCAAGTTGCAAGTGATGGCAGCAGCCTCCCTTCTGTCCCTTGTATTCTATCCAAGCTACCGGCCCTTGGGGAGGAGTAGAGAGGTTGCCCTCACACCCAGAGTGGACCTTCTCATTATCTACATGCAGAACTATATCAAACCAATCAATGGACTAATTTAGTAATCACACACTTTTAATCCCAGCATCACATAAGCTACAAAAGACCTATCTATGACCACATGAGGCTTTGGGGGGACATCTAGACACAAGCCATAACACTTTTGCAACTGCAATTACTTTCTCCTCCATTCTCAATTTTGTTTCCCATTACTGCCATATAATTTGGTTTAAAAATACATATACTTGACAATTTTTATTTCCTCCACATATGGATTTCCATGAAAAGCAAATTAAAATAAAGTATCAAGAAGCATCCTATACTAATTTTCTCTTAGTCCTACCAAGAAGCTTGCTCATCTGGTTTGCTTAAGGTAGACTGAATTTAACCCTTTTATACTTACAATCCAAGGTTTCTTGGCTTGTTTTCAAAGTTAGTGCATGCAAATCTCTTCTTGTATCAAAACCGTATCCAGGGGATGTGTTTCACTTCCAAAGGATAGTTGGAATTATTTATCTGTTTACAAGCAAATGACACTGCTTAAAAAAAGTTAAGCCTGCCCTGTAAAGATGGGGCATTCAAAAAGAACACCAACCACCTAAAATTTTAGGCCTTAAAGCAAAACAGGAATCTTCTATTCTATTTTGTTGCTTTCTTTTTCTTCTCCCACAACACTCGTTGGTTGCAAATCTGTTAGAAAATAACCCAGTGCCACCCATTCTTTATCCTAAAAAACAGAACAGAAGGTGAATAGCAGGAAAAGACATTTTAAGTCTGGTAGTGAAAAAGTGGTAGAAGTGAAAGAAATGTATCATTAAAGTCTATAAAAGAAGAGCCTGGAACTCAAAACTCTTGGCCCCCTGTTGTCCTTCTCAGTGGCTGACCTTGCCCACAAGTGGGGCCATCTTCCATGAAGTATTCACTATGTACCTTTCATAAAACCTGGACCATCCACATGCCCATCCTATGGAATCCCAGAACGTTACCACGAGAAGTGGACTAGGGTTTTTAAATAACATAATCTGACTTGTTAAAAAAAAAAGATACAAAAGCATAAAAATTCAAAGTAAAACTCCTTTGGATTGAAATTCACAAATCAATTCCTATTCACATAAAAAGACATTGTAAGACAGAAAGACAATTACATCTTTTGAAATTCAAACCTAGAAAACCATGGAGAAACTGCAGCAAAAGATAAAAGAGTTGATAAGTGCTAGAATGCAGTGAGACATATGAGGCCTGGCTCGCACGGGTGGGTGTAAAAGTTTGCAAGTGATGCTATAAACAGAATAAAACAATGGAATGGAACCTTGCGTTTGACAGACTGGCTGCTAGGGAAAGAGGGACTTGGAAGAACCATGTGGTCTGTTCAGAGCTCACACTTTCATTAAAGAACACTTTATCCATTCTACTTAAAAATAACTTAGAAATGAAATGCAAACACGCTTTTCACAGAAAAATCCACGTGTTTTCATTTGTTATTTCCAAGGTCCATGCTGCTGCACCCACATAACTCAGGCACTGAACATCTTTGAGGCGACTTTCGGGAATCTGAGGACTCTATTAGCCAGCTCCAAAATCAACTGTGGCACTAAACTCCTATCAACAGGTATGACTATAACTGAGGAGAGGAACAGAACCTCAAAAGAAACCCCCAACCTGTGTCTAATCTCTTAATGTCCACGTGCCTCAGGACTGACCTTGTTATGGCTTGTGTCTACATGTCCCCCTAAAGCCTCATTCAGTCACAGGTGGGGCTTTTCAGAGGTGGCAGGACCTAGAGTATGGTGCTGGGATTAAAGATGTGTGGTTATTAAATCCATCCACTGATTGGTTTGGCACTGCCCTAATCCTGGCAGCCTAGACAGAGAATAAAAGAGGTGTAAGAAACTGCTGAGGTCCCTTGCTGCTTTGCTCTGTTCTGCCCATCGTGAACTGCTTCTCCTCTGAGACACCTGTCTGCCATGCCACCCTGCCTGGGAACCAGCTGACTATGAACTGAAACCTCTACAAACTGTGACCTAAATAAACCTTTCCTTCTTTCCACTGTGGCTGTCAGGTATTTTGTCTCAGCAATGCGTGAAAAGTAACTAAGACGGTCCTCATTTTACTGTTCCTCACTCCCTGAAAGAGCTTCACAAATTGCGAAGCTCTTTCTAAGGTGGTGACCCTCCGGCCGTGTCCTGTGATGCAGCCCGCATGCTTCCAAGTCAGCCTCTCATGCACTCCACACCCAGTGTGGCAGGAGGACTGGGGCTCTGGCTTCCAAACCTACCTAGAGCAGGCTGATTCCCCCACCTCCTGGGTAGATTAAGCTACCAGCTGCTACCCTGGGCCTGGGTAGCCGCCTCAGCCTCCAAGCTGATCTTTCAGCCCCTACATGTTAGTCCCAAAGAGTCTACCTGAGTGGTCCTCACTGGAAGGGACATCATGTCACTCCTCCATTCAGAACCACCCAGTGATGCGTCATCTCACTGGAGGAAAGCCACAGGTCTTTCAGTGGCTTCAAAGGCCATGGTGAACACTGGCATCTTTCCCAGATCGCCTTCAGAGTGACCAAAACACAGCTGTTGGAAGTGCTCTTGGAAGACAGACCACAGCTGTCACCACCTTCAGAGATGGCCTGAGCGGGCAGGTTGCCACATCTAAGGTCAAGGAGTCATCCCAGGACTGCAGCATGGATACCACATGCAGTTACCCACACCCGGACACCTCCTCAAGGTGAGACCACTTCAAAAGGCCACTTGAGGTCCACTCTGCAGGGGTCGGCTGAATGGCTCCTGGGCCCATGCTGTGACTGGACCCCTACTTCCCTCCTGCTTCCTTCACTCCTGCCCTTAAGTCTCCATCCCAAAAGCACTGCCAGCAAATGGCCTGCATGTGCACTCCATGTCCTCACCTGCCCCTGCAGAGTCAGCTTGCAATAAGGCCATCCGTGATCCACTCCCCACGCCTCTCTCTCGCCAAACCCCTGCTCACCCAGCAAGCTCTGCCTTTCCCTACAGAGGACAGGCGTGGCTCTGCCTGGGGTCCCTGCCCAGAGCTGCCTCTGCCTGGAACCCATTCCTCTCACCTCCTTCCAGTTCTGCTCAGGTGTCCCCCTTTCTGCACAAGTCAACCGTGATCCACCTGAGGAAGGAGCAAGAGCATAGTTCTGAGGAGGAGCAGTTCTCATTTGCCCCATGTATTTGCTTATGTTTCTGGGGTATGTTTCCTTTGGAAGAAATGACAGTCATTCTCTAAAAAGGAGTTTGAAAACTGGTGTTTTAAATGCACAGAGACAGACCAGGCAGGAGTACAGGCTTTGGCCTCACACAGACATGGGCTTGAGAGGGGCCCTTAGGCTCTTCGCCTCGTTTCTCTGTCTCTGAAGAAGGAGTGACAGTGTCACCTTCTCAGAATGGCTGTGAAGATTAAATGACTTTGCATAGGTAACAGGCTATGACAAAGAGTCATGTAAAGCTTAGATTTGTTGCATCATGGTCCAAAGGAAACCCACACGCCAAGAGCTCCATGGAGGGCACCTGCAATTGGGCATAGACAGGGTCCCAGGAAATCACCTTCCCAGTCAGTGATCGGCAAGCAGAGAGGACGATTCCTGGAGAAGCAAGTGTCACGCGGGGCACAGTGAGCCAGCCGGTGACATTGCACAGGAGCTGCCAAATAGAACAGTTCAGGTGGTTACAGCACAAAATCCCAGCTGTTTGCTCTTTTTTCATGGACTTCAATTACTTCAGACTTTATTCTAATCTCTGAGGCCCACATAGAATTTCAAATCTCTGGTCTATATATATGTTCATCAGAAGAGCTTTAAACTTTAAAACCAGCCATATGCCTGGTTTTTTAGATTAGAGGCCTAAATCTTTTCATGTACTTTCAACCCAAGTTTTTGGTGTGCTTTTTTTTTTGTCCATTTCTGTAAAATAAATTAACTTTACTTGATTTAAAAATAAGACAATAACTCCTCTAACATCTCAGCTATTCTTACGTGGCTCCCATCCATTTTTTATCTAGTAGTGTGAAATGTCCTTGTCTACAACCTCAATTCCCATGCTTGGCTGACTTTAAGAGGTCAGACAGCGCCCCAGCCTGCCCAGCAGAGATAACAGACCACCTACAAGCTGGCACCACCGGAAACCATGAAAGCACAGCACCTACTGTTTCTCCGTATCTACCTTCACAGATTTATCTGTGGATCTTATGATAGTCAGTTTCTGTATTTCCAGGTAGTGAGCCAAACCTGTGTTTAAAAGAATTGACATTTATTTTGGAGATGTCATTGTTGAAGCTACGATTTTGCAATTACACATTAAAGGAATAATTGTGCAATTTTTAAATAATAATAATAAACAGTTCCAAAAAAGGGACAAAGACAGAAGATGATGACCCCACAGTGCAACTTTGCTGAGAATTGCTACCCCGTGTGATTAGAAGATCTAGGGAGCTGACAGAGATCGACTCAGCCCAGCCACAGATGCTGCTGTCATATGTAGAAATATCACTGCCTAGAGTCACGTAAATTTGGGAAACTTTCTGTTCTCATAGTAGACTTGTGTGTGTGTGTGTTTCCTCTTGGGAAAGTCAGTAGTACACCAGATTATTCGGGATTTCTTTAAGTAATAATCTAGAAGTTGCTAAGTTATTATATGAGGATGTTACGCACTTCTCCGGTTTTTCTTCATAGCTTTATACAACTTAATATCCAGGCTTGGGAAACTAGAGAGTTCTTCCAGGTCAAACAACTCCTTAAATCTATCTACGAATTTATTCTCTTTCTCCAACCTGAATTTCATCACCCAGAGGATGACGGTAGTTTCTTTGCACAGATGGTCAAAGGTAACGAGGAGCTCCTCCAGGAAAGGGTGTGCATAGACAACATCCGCTGCCAGGATGTAGTCGAAGTTATTAACAGACCTGGGGAAGTTCCTCTCTAAAGCGACTCCCCAGGAGAGTTCTCTAACCTGAGGCAAATGCTTGCACTTCATTTTGGTGTTTCGGGAAATATTGTATTGCAGGTTTCCAAGTAATTCAGGTAAATCCGTAGCAGTCACATATGCACCTGCAAAACAAAGTTTGGTAGAACTGGTAATCCTTACAGGATAAAGTCAAGCCGTCAGGTTTCAAGCCAATATGCTCTTGGCATTTCTGCACAATTGCTGTCCTAAAGAAAAGGCTGGTTGGGGCTGGGGATTTAGCTCAGCGGCATAAACACCTGCCTTGGAAGCAGGCAGTCGTGAGTTTGATCCCCGGTACCGATAAAAAGGGAAAAAAAAAAAAAAAAGGCTGGTTAGCACAGAAAGATGACCCTTTCACACACATGCTAAAGCAGCTCTGTGCCTCCCCTTAAAGAAAAAGAAAAAATGATATTTTTACACACTATGGCATTTTTTTTTTTTGGTTCTCCTGGTCTCTTGTCTTGTTTCCATTTGTTGTTGTTTTCTACTTAGCTATTATATGCTAGGCGAAAAATAACCAAGAGAAGGAGAAATTCAAAATATTTGGTCCTATTATTAGAATAATCTGAAGTCACTGAAGAAATAAGAATAAGTACTTGCCTAAAACAATTTTGAGCCTCATTTGTTCCAGATTGAATGAGTGTATGTTGAACAGGAAGTGAAAATGAGGAGATACTTTTCAATGCATTACATTAAAAGTATGATGCCAATCATATTTATGCCGAGGCTTTCCACTTGAACACACTATAAATGTAAATTTGCCCACCAAAAAGATGGCATAAAGCCAAACAGCACAGATACAGCACAGAGTGCTCAGACGAAGAAAGTATAAACAGTTTTTAATTATAAGTGAACAGCCATGATCATGCTTTGGCACAAACTTGGCAGGAATGTTATTTGTCCTTAAAGTGAGCTTTGAGTGTGAGAACCTGGTAATAAAGTAGGAGTAGCCACTACTGTAACTTCAGACAGGCACGGCATAGGACAAGGAGGACCTGGAAAAGAAGTCTAGTTTGGCTTGGGTCGAGGTAACACTCATTGGTTAGCCACAAGGTCAAGTTTCTCTGAACCCTGACTGAAGTAGTATTTTTTTTTTGAAACATTATAATGGTAAGGAAATTTGCACATCATTGGTGGAATCGTGAAAATGCGAGCCTTCACATTCCAGTGTGAAGTAAATCTATAGTTTTTGACAAGTCTTTTTAAATTCCAAGATAAGGAACACACCTTGCTCAGACTGAGTGTAAACTATCCCACTGTTCTGTTTAAGATCCTGTTTCTAGAAAGGTGAACATCACCCCTGTCACAGTACTGACTAAGCACACCTTGATATTTGCTGCATATCAGATAAACACACCAAAGAGATCAATTCTTTTTTAATAAACAAATGATTTCCCATGACACAAATTCTAGTCCTGGGTCAGAAGCCTTTCAGTACGAATCAATAATGCCTCTGGCTCTACTCACACTAAGTGAATTGTGACCCTGGAAAGCACCCTCAGACTGGAGAAATTAACTATATATATTTGTATGTATATTTGGGAGGATTTCCAGGGCCTGCATCTCTTCAGTGTTTAGCAAGTGGTTATTCCTAAAACTTGAACTCCTCTCAAGAGTTTAGAATGCCAGGTGTGCGCTTCTGAAGATCAAGGAAATCAAGACAAATTTGGATAGTGCCTGTCAGAGACGGCAGCTAAACTAAGGCAATGAAACAGATAAAACAAAGAAAGGCAGAGCCAAAGCAGGCCCAGGCATCCAGAGAGATGATCACAGGGCCAGCAGGAAAGGATGCTGATGAGAGAACGAGGAGCCATAAAAAGGAATTGGAAAGAACCGTGAAAAGAAATCCAAGAATGAGCACCTAAAAATAAAAGCAAACGTGATTTTATGCAATTTCTAACACTCCTTCTCTATTTAATAGATTCTTTTTCATAAAATCATAGGACTTCAAAATTCAAAAGTAATCTACAGCTACCTATAAATATTGAATTCATGCTAAAATCTGAAGTCCTGTACCCTGAAATCAGCAGCAATAGACTATCAAACCCTAGTATTCAGTAGGGCAGGCTACACATGCCTCTAATCCCTGCACTTGGGAGGCTGAGGCAGGAGGATCACTCCAAGAGTTTGAGGTCAGCCTGGGATTCAAAAGCAAGTTCAGTGCCAACCTGGACTACATACTAAGACCTATGTCAAGAGAACCAAAAGCTTAGCATGTCACACATCTCCTCTGCCAACCAGGATACTAAAACTCAGCTCGCATTTCTTCACATCAGGATGGTGAGTTAGCCTTCTGTAGGATGAACTAATACAATTAACAGAAATTCTGAAAAGAAACTGGTAAAGTGATTTTAACACACAAAATTTCTTAATGAAACTCATTTAAATAGTCAAAGAGATACAAATAGGCCTGGGTCGTAGGACTTTGGATAATAAAAGTAATTAATGACATGTGACCATAAACTTCTCTGATCCTTGCCTCATTCAAATACACCTACTTACCAAGCAAACTTGCCACAATGGAGACCAGCCCAGTTCCTGCTCCAATTTCAATCACGTATTTGTCAACCATATTATACTGTTTTGCATTTGTTTCCAGGAAATGGCATAGAACCAGAGCCTATGTGTTTGGCAAAAATAACAGAAGGAACAATCAAGCTCTATTAAATAAATATAACACATGTGAGCCAGGGTATCTATTTGCATGTTCCACACTCTTGCAGAAAGTTACCATAGCAGTACATCCTCAGCCAGGTTTGTAGTATCATTGGGAGGAAGATGAAATAACCCAAAATACAGAATTTAGCTGCTTAAGTTTGATCAGCTTTAAGGCAGGTAACTTCTAATAACACTAGTCATTTCCGAAAAGTGTGTAAGTTTGAGTGAGGTGTGAAGGTGGATCTGCCGCCCTTTATGGAGCAGTTGGTAAATGAACGAGACCTTTGATAAAGTTCTGCAGGTGAGACTCATCCGGATGTCACTGGAATTGTTCAACTCAAATGGCACCCGTAAAACAGTGAATAAAATGTTTACAATCTTCTAAACTCTCATTATTGTAAAAAACAGAAAGAGTAAAGAATTTTTACTTATCCTACAAATTATGATAGAAACAGCATTAATTGGTTGGAGAAATTTCCCAAGAGCATGATTTCAAAATATGACTGTTGTTTGAGATCACAGAGTAAAACCATGCAGCCTGTGTTCTTCCTCCAAGTAGAACATGAAAAAGAACAGAACAGACAGGAGAACAACTGGGATGAAGCGAATTTTGTACGAAATTATACCGAGGGCCAAACCACAGCACCATAACTATCTGTGGCTTCAGTGATCCGAATCTCATGCCCAACAAAATGGAAGCCTTCCCAGGGAGTGTTTGTTATCAGGGCTGGGGTAAAACATCTTGCCATGATCTCGGTGACCACCTGCTTGTCATCACGGTCTTCTCTGGTCTCTGAAAGGAGAGAAGGGCAATGGTTGTGTTAGTAAACCCATGAAAGAGAAGAGCCTGATGGAAATGCAGCATTTCTTCGAGTATTCTCTGACTTACATAAAATAAAATAGTGAGATATGCAATTTCAAAATATCTCACCATATAAAGTAACATTTCATACTTCAGAAGGTCGCCACTGTTCTGATGTTTATGAGAGTTTATACCAACGCTGTCCATTTTTGCAATGCTCAGTGAAACATACAATCACTGATACACTTTTTAAAGAAATAAGTTTTCAGAATCACAAATCAGATTGCCTAGAATAACAGAAAGATTGCTGATGGTGAATGAGATGGTGGCCATGTATCAGGACAACACAGTTCATTGCCAAGTATCTATGTACTGGACAGCAATCCATTCCTTGTGACTCACTTTTATGCACACCAAAGATATTTAAGACCACCCTACAATACAACCTTGAACCATGATTATTCATTCTAATAGTACTGTCTTGAGAGACCTCGTGTTACCTTATCATCTGCAGTATTTCATAACGTTAGTAAGCAACATGAATACCAGTTACTCCAGAAATTCTTAACACGGTGGGCCGTGCAAACACATAGTAATATTTCGGTTAATTGTTACAACAACCTGGTGAGATGGACATTCTTATTTTTCACTTTCACAAATAATGAAGCTAAGACTGAGACAACTGTATTAACTTCATCCACCTTATATAACTTATAAATGTAGGAGCCAAAACTTGAGCTTCCTTTATGGTTGTTCCAAAGTCTTCCCTATAAAGTAGTTGAAAGTTTTAATTTAAAAAAAACAACTGATTGTCCCTAAGAATTTATAGATAGTTATGCAAATTATAAAAGATTCAAGAACCTACAACAAATGGTGCTGGGAGACAAGAAAATGTGAGTAGAATAGCACATTACCTCTACATAGCACTCAAATATTACTATTATTGTTACTGTTATTGCTGTAATCATTATCATTTTGATCATGAAACTGAGACACTAAAAAAATGACATAAGCAAATCTTGCATTGTGTGGTGCAGGTTTAAAAATTCTGCATTCAATAAGGAAAAGGGAAACCACAGAGATTGAAGCTACTCAGGAATGGCTTCATTAAAAAGTTTGTCTAAGGTTTAACCTTTGATCTATCACATGATTTTCACCAATGGAGAAGTTATTTTTCACATCAATCCTTAGAACTCATTGATCCTTCCAGTCCTGTATCTGCTGCCCGAGATCAGACTGGAGTCCTACCAGCTGCTTCTCTACTCTGCACTCCTAAATCCAGGCTTAGGGCCTTCTAGAAGAGGAGATAGAAAATAAAGACCGACTATGAATATAAAGAACAAAGATATGAAAACTTCCTTCCAGAAAGGAAGAACAGATTGTAATCTCAAAGACTCATTTCAAAACTTAAGCCACAGTAACACTTGTTCTTCCATTATTCCATTTCCCACTCAACAAAACACTACCGAAGGCAGTTGAGTGTTGAGGACAATGCTGGGTGATGGGAAGGTGACAGCCTCCCAGACATGATGCTGACCCTCCAGAGAAATAGAAATACATAGTTATGATTTACCTGGAGCCCAGCAATGTATGATATCTCATAGAATCCTCATGAAGAAAAATAGTAGGTTAGAGGTAAAGTCAGTTTTTGCAAAGTATCCCTAAAGCATTTGGCTTTAATTCCCACCTGCAAAGACCTTTATACCAAAGTTAGTGGTCTCCCATTCAAGTAGTAACCAAGACCAACCCTGCTTAGCTTCCAATCAGACAAAATTGGGCATATTCAGGACCAGAGACCCTTCTAATTAATGGTGTTTTCTCAATTTTGTGCTAATAAACTTTTTTGATGATGGTTTGGCTTACTGATGATATTAAGATATGGTCACATTTCTAAATAATATAAATGTGATGGAAGCACTGAGTATTTCAGAAAACAAAATGTAATGCCAGGTATTTTGACAGGCTGGATTGAAGTGAATTGGGCCCAATAATAATAAGTAAAGACCACATTTAGGTAGTGTTTATCAGCACTATTTGGTACACGGCAGGCAGCTTGGACCATGAGTCAAAAATACAAGTGGCTATCAGAAAATCCAGTACACCCATGCTATGTTAACACTATAGTTTCTAAAATGAGTGCAGTAAATAATTTTTTTTCAATTTTGTGCTAGGTAGAGCATATTGGTGATCCCACGGGTCATGGGAGAAGCTCCATCTCAGAAGACTCTAAGAAACTGAGAAAACCTGAAACTCAGTCCTATGAAGACAATTTGAGTATGTCCACCAAAAAAAAAAAAACAAAGCCTGGAAGGTAGACAAGAGATTTAACAACTTGGAAAGATTAGGAAACAGAGGAGATTACAAATGCATGAGTGTATTGTTTATTGTGTGTGTTGGGTGTGTGCTGTGTGTGTGTGTGCACACACACATGTGTGTCCTACATAGGATCCAGCCAGAAGAACCCCAGCTTAGCCACGGTCCCGCACTCCACTCTCACATTCTCTGCGATAAGATGCCAAGAACACAGAGAGATTAAAAACTGATATTCCTCAGAAAAGCCATTGCTTCTAATACGTGTCACAGTACTGTTCAAATGGCTGCAAGTATTCACATTCAGGAAGAGCCCCAGGAACCAAATAATATTGGTGATATGTTTTTATTTGAACTTTAACTTTCATTTCACTGTATGCACTTGGTGTATGGAGACCGCAGGCAGGCTGGGCGAGGTGTGCTGCGAAGCTCTTTAGGAAAGTTAGAGAACATTAATTGCTTCCTTGACCTTTAAGTGGCGATGCCCTCTTGGGCCACCTTGCCTCCTCCTTGTAAATGTAGCACTTCTTTGACAAGTCACCTACCGTATCGGGGATTAATAGATGTTAGAGTACACCAAATCCCAGGAGCATCTCCCAAAGTTCCAGTCTTTGATAGAAAAACTTTGCCAGTGAATATTTACTGGGACAATCTGACATCTTTGACTTTGCATGTTCTTTTAAAGGTTAGTTGGCCAGCTTAATGCTCCTGTCTTAACAAGTAGGTGACAAATGAATTCCTGGCTTTTGACTCTGTCTTTCTGAATGAACAGAGCTCCTCATTTCTTCTGATAATGACCACATCTTTAACTTCATAGGGAAATGAAGTTTTAAAGTCCTCTATGTGAATATATTGTAATCATTGAAAACTACATATTCTAAAGGATCTTGCAAGGCATTTTATGAAACAACTATAATCACTACTAATTGCATATAATCGCTTCTCGGCCTTTTGGCTAAGATCAAGTGTACTAATTGCATATAGACTCTAAAAGCACAATTCAATCAATTATATATGGTAATTCAAAACCAATTATACTCCTAGAATGTTTGGTATCAGACAAAATATTATCAGGTTCAACAATTTGAATTGATAATATATTAGTATTCTTTTCGCATCTAAGTACTATACAAACAGTACAGGCATTGCATAAGAAGAAACCCTCATGAAAATTAGCATAATTTTTATCACGAAACCAAAATGAATTGAACTCAGCTACTTAAAACAATTTGTTTAAAGAGGAATATGGTCTTGATAAGCTCACAATGATAAAATTGTTTCTTTTGAAGTAATCTATGAAAGTTAAGACAAAATTTTCGTAACAAAGAAAAATAAGCAAACTTTGTCTGGATACAATGTGTGAGAACTTAAAGTCAAATATGCAGGCACTCACATCTATACCATTATTCTCATCTTAAAATATTGGCTTCTCTTTCCCAGCATGACCTCCTGTTTAAACATTTTGAAGCAATCATTTTAATACAGTAGTAATTATTTAAATCAAAAGGCATGTTTAATATTAACTATTAGTGTTAACACCACCATTTCAAGGTTAATAGCAAGACTCTGTCACCTAGAATTTCACAGAATGTACACACTTTTCAAAGACATTCCCAGAGTAGCCTTATTGTAACAAGAGGGCGAAATCTATGCTCCAAACACAATCTGCAAAGAAAAGGTTCTCTAAATTGTGTGCTTAATTATTTTCAGAGTATGGGCTTGAAGGCTGAAAATATTAATTCATTAATTAGCAGACAGCATTTGAATTTTAGTTAAGATTTAAAGAGCAATATCCTCCAAAATTAATAACATGGTACAATGGAATTATAATCTACATTTTAAGGGATAATTTTTCTACTGTCTCATTTTTTTACCACTTAGGTCTCATGACAATTAATGAAAACTAAGTAAAGTTACACACACAAAAAAACTGGATTTTGGGTTCCCTATGTGAAAAACAGAAAATTCCTGAGTCTGTACTTTTTTTAAAAAGCTGGCTACTCTGACTGTAGCATATTATTTTACTGATGAATTTTTCAATATTATTCAAAAGGTTGTAAATAAAACATAGTCAAGACATAGAATTACAATTATGTTGCTATTTTGGGCTTATCTATTTTAATGCTTCTTCATGCAGAAGTCTTAACATCATCTGCCTGCTATCCCATCTTTGCTGACAGTGATTTAAAATCTACCAGGTGCTCTTGTTCTCCTGAGAACTAAAGGCATTTCAAGTATGACGTGAAAATTAGCAAGATTCTGCCACATTATGGTGATGATTAGCTTCAGGAAAATTCAACATGAATTTACTTCAGAGCTGAATTGCAGCAAGCCTTCAAAAATAGAGGCTCTGTCTATATTCTTCTCCTTTATAACTTTAAGGTCAGTAAGAACAATAGTAAGCAGAAGGGTCAGAGCTCAGAAACACACTCAAAAAGGAGGGAGTAGTCTTCTGACTCTTCAATAGCTGAGACAAGTGAATTTGAGCTCCTATCTGAGGGCTGTCATGAAAGCCTGTCAGCAAAATTCAAAGTGAAAACCACTCTGCTAAGTGAAAGAGATTGTCAGTCAGCCAATCTTCTGTTCAGAGATCACTGTCATGTGCTTTGTAGAATTTCCTAAAGATTAAAAAAAAATGTTTGAGATATTTTTAGATTACTAAAAGGCCAAAACTGACCTGAAATATACAATTCTGAACACCTCAGCAAGTCAAGACTGTGGGCCCTTATGTTGAAATGAATTCCAGAGAAGATTCCACAAATACTTTTTGTCTGTCATTCTGCTTCATTTCAGAAATGCATAATCTGTAACTCATCATGTGAAGCAAACAATACTATACTTCACGTCTCTACAGGACCAATATAATTCATCTTTTATTGCTACTCCTCTGGATATGAGTAGAAAGCAAAAAATAAATAAATAGTAACCAAAGTTACCTAAATTAGTTGCTCTTAGATTTTGCTGCTTGCATCATGGAAGGAAAGATATTAACCAAATGACAATGATGTCTGGTAGGTATTAAGCATGAGCAGCTCACATAATTCAGAGAGGAACCTTTGAAGGGTCGCTTGCTCTTAGGGAGCTATGAGGAGATCGAGGTGCCTCTTGGATCTCTGGAGAAAACCATTGTGAGGAAGCAGGTTGAGACCGCACCTCTGTAAGGTGAGCAGTTCACCATGGAGATTGTTAGAGGAGGCCCTGGCTTTGACAGGTGTGATATTTAGGAACTACATCTTGTCTCAGTCCCTGAAAGACATCGAGGCTGGGAGACTGTTGTAATTCTGGACAAAAGACAACAAGAGTCTGAGCGAAGGTCACAGCTATGAGTCAGGGGCCAAGGAGGAATTCGTGTGCTTTTGGGGTGGTGCCCCCCTACACACATCATGGGGACAGCAAATGCCATTCAAACTTCAGATTCAGGTGTGGGTTTTAAACTTGTGAAGTAAATTGGTAAATATAAGAGTTATTTTTATTCAATACTGGAACATTCGCCTTATTAAGTATTTATTCAGGTTACTTTTTAAACATTTAAATGCGTTAATGAGTGATTCTCACATCAGTAACTGTAGATGCTATACAGTCCCCAAATCAGTTCAAGGGATATGTTGCTTCAGTGACAGTTTGATAGGTTTTCTAACTGGAGATAAAATTATTCAAGTAAACACTTCTTCCCATAGTAAGGCAATATTATCCATATAAGCCATGTTGCTCATTAATCCAATTCTATAAAATTTATAAAAAATCCTCCCAAGAGATTTTTATGTGATGTCCTAAGCAGAACCTTACACAAGGTCCTAAAGGAAGTCAACTGCCTGGTGACCACAAGTACAAGATCATCACTAATGAGCAAATTAAGTCCAGCCAAGGTCCTTAGATACATTTATTCACTGGCTCATTTACTGAACATCTAGATGCTGGGCCGCGAAGACAAACCAACATGTAAGTGCTAGAACAGTGGCTTAACTAGACAATGTGAAAATGGGAAGTCTTACAATGGGAAGTCAGAGAACTCAACAAAGAATTATCTGAACCTTCATGATTATACATTTGTCAGGCGAATCAGGTAAGAATGACCCACCACCCATAGAAAATGATATATGCAAAAGCCAGCCAATTTTCCAATTTGGGAAACTCTGAGAACTAAAATGTAAGATAAAGGGGCGGGGTGAGTAGCATGAGATAAAATATTTTGTGTCATTCAATTAAGTCTCTATTTTATGCTATAGGAAATAATGAGGCACTGAAGCATTTTAAGCAAAGACAAATGTGACAAGATTTGAATTTTTAAAATGTGGTGTAAGCTCCATTGCAGATAAAGAAATAGAGAGGGCAAAGAAAGTTAGCCCAGAGTGAGACAACCAATTAAAGGCAATTAACAAGACAAGAATGAAGAAATAATAAAGACCAGAAGCAAGACAATTGGCATTAGAAACAGTGAATGAAGGGTAGTGAAACTTTAGAGAGGTAAAAGCAAGAGGATGTAACAATGAAGAATGGGAAGGAGAGGGAGGAGAATGGAATGACGCCACACTTCTGGGCACCCAAGGATACATAGAGAGAGAAATACAGGTAAAAGGGCGAATCTGCAAAAGGATTTTGTATTAATCTGTGGCACAATGCACTGGCTGTGAAAGTGGCCACTCAGCTTCAGAGACCCAGCCGCAAGACACAAGTTGCCCATCAGTGCCAGCTGCTATAACTCACTTCCCCACTGGGACCGTTGACTGAAGCCAGTTCACTCCACCAAGCATGCTCTTTTAATGCCCCAGTTTTGCGGAGGGCCTCCCCAGTGGCCTATGGACACTTGCCGAGAACTCCATAGCAGTTGGATTTCTCCCAATCTTCCCATCCTCTCTCCTCACCTAGGCATGATACCCATGTTGTAACCTGAAAGCTCCCCCTGCAGCCTGCATCTTCTTCCTCCCTTGTCCTCCACATGCCTTTCCCCAAATAAATCCCTTGTATGCCTGATCCAATTTTTGCCAGCGCTGGAACGGCCTAGATCGACACAAGGAAGCAGGCGTGATGTCAAATCAGCAGTTTAAATGGCAGATTGGGGCATCACTGTGCAGAGGAACACCTGATCTTGAGTACAGGTGCTCCAGGCGTAGCCCCTCAGGAGAAGACTTCCCTAGCACGCTGGGCTGCATGTGCTAACAGCTGAAGTGGAGCTGTTGGCACAAGGAAGGCAAACACAGCATACTTGAAATTGTTCCTTTGGATAAAGCTTTAGACAATGTGGATTATCATGCAGCCTTGGAAACACAGAAAGGAATTTTTAGTACTCGCCTTAGTGCAAGTTTTAATCTGTGTATACGTAAATGACATGTTATAATTGTTGGATCTTCAAGCTATGCTGAAATGTGACAACCGAGCTCTGGGCTTGTTCCATCCTCTTCAAACACAAGATAGTAAGTCTGAGAGTTAGAACAAGACCAATCAATATCACTCAGGACTTGAGAACACAGTGTTCCTCTTCTTGGGAAAAGTTTTGCCGACACCATGCCATCTGTGCCTGCTCCAGGATCACGTACTTAATTCCTTTAACACTGTGCTATTGAACATATTTTTAAAGCTCTAATTGGCTATGGAGATGATTATGGGGTATGTTTGTTCATGTTATAAAATATTTTAATACCAGCTCTGTTGCAACCTTACCTTGAACTTCTTCCATTTCCTTTGTAATGTGCCAAATTATCATGCACACAGTAGAAACCAAGAGTTGTTACTAATGGTAATGATAATGATGTAATTTTATGCATAAACCACCCAGAAATTACATATTCACTCAAATTACCTAAATGGCTAGATTCTCTTAGTGATTACAACTTACATCGTCAGGTTTACAACACTTGCTGCTGTAGAACCCTTGGTATGTGAGCCAGGTAGGCTGCCAAGCTCGGGCATGGGCTCAGATCTCTGTACCTGAACATGCACTCACTTAGGTGGAAGCTACTTGGTGTGGCCAAAAAGGGAAGAAACCGTGCTGCAGCTCTTACAAAATGTACACAGTGAAAAATATGGGGTGGGGGGAAGGGGGAGAGGAGGGGAAGGGGTAGACAGGGAGGTAAGGGAGAGACGTGGAGAGAGAGGGAGAGACCCAAAATAATTAAATTTGTGTTAAAACTCTTCTGCAAAGACATGGTAATTCTTGAGTCTACGCCAAGAATATAGGTATTCACTTTCAGTCTCAAACAATGGATATAATCATATTACATCTATACTGTGTCTTAGCCATATTCAAGGCTATGTGAAAATGGCGTCAATTTCAAAGAAGTAAACCTGCAGTAGAATTCAAACTTAAATTCTCTTTCTATCTAGAGATCAAGTTACATTATGTTTTGCCTCTAATTAATAAATCGACTATAAACACATCTCAGGGATGTTTTTATGGCCTACATTCATTCAGTATTTTTACATGGAAATATGTTTATCTCTTGCCAGTTTCTTATCTGAAATGAAATAATTTAGAATTTAGAAATCACAATCATGTATTTCATGTATAGTGCTTAGGAAAGAATCAAATCCAAGGAAAATGCTAAATACTTAGTAAGTCTATATATTTAATTTATTGTCTGTCACAATTACCTGTAACAAGTCATCAGGTCCACTGGTGTGATAGTGGTAGACGTTAAATATTAGTGGAGATGTTCGAGGTTAGGGTGCACAAGCCAAGACATAAAATATAATTACTGAGAGTCCTGACCTAATGGTTAAGTAATAGAGAAACAATGTTCTAGCTTATGTAGTCATTAATGAGCACTGCAAAAGTAAGACTTTACAGTCTAATTATCATTTATCTTAGAATTGGTTGAATTATTCTCTCTCTCTCTCTCTCTCTCTCTCTCTCTCTCTCTCTCTCTCTCATGCACACACACACACACACACACACACACACACACACACATTTACCTTCTTGACCTTCTGGATCCATCAAGTGATGAATTAATGGGTGGCTATATTTTGATATTTTCTTGATCATTCCTTGAGAACTAGGGAAATAATACATTAAAATATCAAATAGCAATAATTCAAAATATGTATTGAGTATTTACACTTATAAACTTCAAACATAGCTGAAAAAATATATTAAAATATTATATATTAACAAAGCATGACTTAAGGAAAAACCATGTACATATTGTCTAGTATAAGAAAATACTTAACAAAGGTTTCAGAGTCAGAAACTTTGAAAGCTTCTGGAGAAACAGAACAAACGCCTCACCAGAGACCATCTCAGCTGTCATAACGAGAAGCATCTTCATCACGTTGACTGCTAAGACAGCAAGTCCAAAATCTGAGAGGTGGCTTAAAAAAAAAAAACCCTGGAAAGAAGCGGGTTCTGTGTGTTGTGGTGAAATTTGTAATCTCAAACAAATCTTCCCAGCCACAGATGCAAAGTTCACTTGCTCCCACCCATGCGTCATTAGCAAGTCTGCAATGTCAAACAGTCCAACCGCCAGATGGTTGCCAGGGTTGTTGCCTTTAAAGAGTCCGTGCTGTCCCAGCAAACATCTAAGACCGAATAAATTGCTCATTCCATTCAAATAGGCCATCAGAATTAGCTAAAATGAGCTGTTATTTAACTTCTGTCAAACAAAACTTGTCTGTACTTCTCAACTTGATGTCAGAGAACAAATAGTCACTGTGTATCATAAGTGAATATCACAGTTCTTTCCTCCAAAGATCCCAAAACACTTTTCATAGCTAGCACGTTTTTCTTTCCAGCATGCCTCTGTAAGTTAGAAGCAAGATCATATTTTGTACAGTTCGCAAACAAGAAAAACCAAAGGTTAAATAACATCACCAAGGTCACACAGCTAAAATAATAGCCAGACACACATTTCGCTCCCAATTTAATATCTCTTCCGTTAAAGAAAGCAATATTGATTATACCTGTCTTCCTGAAGGCCAATATTTATTAAATGTTAAGTCTGGACATACCTAATGGGTTAGCTGAGTTCAGGAAGATCAAAAGTTATCTCATCCACTTTTGTTTTGCTGCCGAGACCTCTGGCCGGGCCTGAAATGAGAGCACCAGAGCACACAGCTTACTACTGTACACGCTGGCAGGACACTCAGGCAGGAGGGAGCAGGGTCCTGACAGCTGCAGCCTCAGCGCTCTGGTCATGCAGAGTGAGGCTGGAATGCGTGTGACTGAGGGGACTAAAGAACGGCAGAAATATTCCATCCGAGTGTCTCGTCAATCGAGCCAGAGCTAATCGGCAAATAGAAACCATTCCGGCAAGTGAGAGAAGACTGTTTGGAGGAAGCGATCCAATTTTTCAACTTCAGTGCCAAGAGTTATTCTAAGATCCCGTGGCTATGACGTCCTAAGAAATGGAAGCCAAGGACACTTTAATGTCACCTGTCCAGGTGTGAACACTGCTTTTAAAATCCAGGATTCTCAAGGATTGCTGTGCACCCAGGAATCAAATTACCATGATTCCTTCCTACTCTGACTGGGCAGGCTGGAGGGGGAGGCATCTGCACACCTGCCCATGTGTAGAAGTGTGCATCGCAGAGCACCCTTGCAGCCAAAAGCATCTTCCTTAATATAAAGCTCCAGCCAAGATTGCAAAGTTAAATGGAGGAGTGTGAGTTCAAAACTACTTTACACACACCGTGGTGTAAACCCAAAGCTGAACTGAGATTGCTTTAATGTACCGGATGGGACAGGAAGCCTAATTTTAGTTTCTTCTGTCAATAATGAAATTTGCTTAGTATGTGTCTTGACTTCTTTGTCTGTAAAACAGAGAAATAAAATGTACATGATGACATATGTGGGGTGAATATTGCAGGTTTAAAACATTCTACAAAGTACAAAATTCTCAACAATGCAAACTATTATTTAGAGGAGTTGATTTTGATCAAAGGAATTCTTTAAAAACAAGAATAAAAAATTACTTGATGAATAAAAATTACATCTTTTTCAAGGAGCTATTTGAAAGATCATGCAATCTTCAGCACTGGATTTCTTAAGAAGCAGAATCTCTAAATCAGTCATCTTAACAAATATCATGACAGTGATCATTTCAGACACACTGAACAGTGGAAAAACTATATAAAGATTTCGTCTTCATCTCTAAGCACCTTAGCAGAACTGGGCTTCATTTATAAAGCAGAAAAACAGGTTTTTGAGTACACCCATACACTCATGCACACACACACACACACACACACACACACACACACACACACACACATATACACACACACACAGGTGCTTCTATTAGTATTGAAACCGTCAAGGAAGCCAAGAATTCCACGCATTACTGGGGACTGCTGGTAAAGGGAAAGAAAGGAGGCTGCAGAGAGGACAGCTGTGAGGGAACCACAGGGCCTCAGGCAAACTCACCGTACACGGGAAACAAAGGGGCTGGCAGTGCAACCAGGAATCGAAGGCCCAGGATCCCAGAAAGAAGAACAGACAAGTAACCTGACGCTCAGCACTGACCTTAAAGCATTTGCAGATTATGCTTCCTATCATAAGAGGCTAGTTTTCAAAGTATGGAGGCAAAGAGCAGAGCCAATCTCAGAAGAAGAGAGAAACACTGCAGAATTGCAGCTGATTGTTCTGCAAAACCAGTTTCTAGGAATAGGGAGAAAATGGAAACTGGAATTTTACAAACACCACACAGCAGATTTGAATCTGCTCAGTCCTGCCTGAGTTGAGTCCTGCCTTGCTACCTGTTAAAATACCTTCTGGGAGCCTCTGTAGAGGGAGATGAAGAACATTGACAATTTTGACTATATTATGTCCAGCATGGAGTCAAAATTTATCAGGCACACTAGGAAATCCAGGTATTGCAGTTATTTGATATAGACTTAAAGTAACTGTGTTTCAAATGATCAAAAGCATAAACACAATTGCAGCAAAGAACTAGAGTCCATAAAATGGAGCCAAATAGAACTGAAAAATAATGAATCAAAGAACTCAATATATGGGCTTAATGGCAAATACAAGGTGATGAAAAGATTAATGAGTTAGATAATTTTAGAGAAAAGACAGGATGAGCATGATCTAAATAAGTTAAAGGTAGCTTAACTTGCTTTTTGCTCTTCTTTATGGTGGCATATATATATATATTTATATAAAATTTGTTCACTTATTTGTTGATGGGTACATGGGGTGCATGAATAGTGTCACAATAAACATAGATATGCAGGTGTCTTCTGTATGCTGGCTTCGTTTCCTACAGATAAAGAGCTAGGAGAAGAATGAATCATATGGTAGCTCTCTTTCTAGTTTTTTAATTACCATTTTCCAAGTCAGTTTTACTAATTTATATTCCCACCAATCGTATATGTAGGTTCCTTTTTCTCCACATCTTCACGAGATTTTTCGTAAAGCCATTCTAACGAGGATGAGGTGGATTCTCAATGCACTTTTAATTCGCATTTCCCTGATGGCTAAAGACATTCAGCAGTATTCACATACTTATCGACTGTGTGTACTCCTTTTGAGAAGTATCTGTTTAGAACAAGTGTTTGGATGTGATTATTCTCTTGGTACATTCTTTCTTCAGTTCTTTATAGATGAGGAATGATCAGACACTACAAAGGATGGCTTTTTGTAATCTATTATAGTAAAAGACATATTACTATTATTTCCTCCCCACAATACTCCCTTTCACTTTATACACACTGATTCCATTACCCTTGCCACTTTGTAGAGCAGCTCTAGAAGTCTTTTGTGTGAGTGTGTGTGTGTGTGTGTGTGTGTGTGTGTGTGTGTTTTAGGTGTGTTGCTGTGGCTGCCTTGATGTTCTGAATTGATGGGAAACGTTTACCTCTGTGGTCATTTTCACTTTGGGCAAGAGGCAGAAGTCACAGTGCCAGAGCCAGTGAATAAAGGGGTTAAGGGTACCTGTAATGCTTCTCTGTGATAGAAATTCCTGCACACTTCTGGTCAGAAAAACAAGATCAAAAATCTACAATGACTGCTGCTGCCAAGTGTCATCCAGTAGAAAGGCAAGCTGGTAAAAATACTATCCAATGTCTCTGGGTTTCTCCAAGTGTCTATGCACTACTGAACCCAACAATCTGCCAGTCATTCACGTCAGCAGCACCTCCTTTAATTCTGTGTAATTGGAGTGCTGGTTGCCTTGTTCCATCACCTTGGAGAGGTCTCCTACATGCATAGATCTGGCAAAGTAAATACCTCTAAACTTGTTGCTATAGTTCTAGATTTTTCTTTGGTCATCAGGTTAAAAAGAGAACATACTGTACTAGCAACCTGTTCTATAAATATCACATAGCATATGCTGCTCATGATCCAGTCTATTTCTCCCTTCTGCCCAGACACACATAACAAGTAGGAATTATATTTCTGAGCACAACTACATATCGCCATATGTTCACCTCACTTCAACAAAAAAGGAAAAGGGATTTTTCTAGTCCACCTTGATGGAAGACATTCCACGTGACCTGAACTTCTTCTTCATGCTTCTTCTTCAGCAGGTTGAATTAGGGATGCAGTGGCCCACAGACAATTCAAATAAAACCACCTAGGCAACAGCTGAGCTTAGAGCTGTGAAGGACCTCGTGGTGGCAACTGCTTCACAGTGTCAGACTGGCCCAACTGTTGAGTCTGTATCTTGTCCTGAGTATTTGTGGGAGGCTAAATTTAAAGGCAATGGGGTAATTAATCTCGTGGAGAAAATTGCAAGGCAACTCAGCATTCAGGCTGTGGTATGGATATTCCTGGCTGCTTTCAGCCATTTGCTGATTGTGAGACCATGAGCAAAAAACAGAACAGAAAGATTTGAAAATTTTGCAGTTTGTCCAGAAAGTAAGTACTTGTAAAGTTGGATCTGTGTGAAGTGTGATGGCTGAAGAATTAGCACCATTAAAAAGGCAAGTACTGGCCAAGTACAGTGGTACATCTGTAATCTCGTATTCTTCAGACTGAGACAGGTGGATCGCAAGTTCAAGACCAGCCTGAGGGGACTTCATGCTGAGATAAAAGAACCCTTGAAAGCTTCTCAAGAATTGGTGAGATCCCCACCACCACCACCACCAAATCATAGATTTTGCTTTGAGAAAAGAGCATCACAGCATTCTTTTGCTACAGGGCCACCTCGAAAGTTGTTTCCCGAAGACTCATTTTACTGAAAAGCTGCCCAAGCATTCAGAGGCTACAGCAACCATGATCCAATTGGGCTCAGCTACTGGTAACACTGACAACAGACCTTGCAAATAAATATCCACGTGGTGTTGGTTTTGTAGGCAGGCAGAAAGAATTACAGGTGGTGAGCTTTCCACTAGGATTTTAAAGGCAGCCCTAGGAGGCCAAGCAACGTGTCAGAGTCACGGTGGGCAGTCCCCACGAAGGCGGTGCATGAGGCTGTGCAAATGTGACCGAGGCTGCAGTCAAGTGATGCCAAGAACATGGAATATGTGCCAAGGAAAGCTGCAGCAGCAGGGCAGCCCAGAAGGCCACATGGACAAGGCCCTCTAAGTACTTTGGAGCTCACGTCACACTGTCATGCACCCCAGATCCCAAACATGGAGCTGTGGTTTCAATGCTTGTCTCACTGGGTTTGGGACCTGCTTCAGCCCAACACTTCCTTGTTACACCCCCATTCCTCCCTTTTGAAACGGGAATGTTCACCCTGTTCCACAGCACCCTGGGAGTCTGTATCTTGCCTTTACAGTGATGCAACAGTGAAGAGTTGCCTTGAGTCTCAGAGGGAGACTTTACACTTCTGAGCAATGCTGGAACTGTGGAGACTTCAGGAACCATGGGAAAAGACTAAACGTACTTCACATTTGAGAGCAGGAGTGGACTATCATGACTGGGATCCAGAATGTGCCCCCTAAAGGCTCATTGTATTGTAGGCTTCATTGCTAGAGAAGTGACGGCTGTGGGAGCTGTAACATTAACAAGTGGAAAAACGGTTAAGCGCCCAGCTCAATGGACCTACTAGGAGACGGGCCTGACTACATGAGGTAGATCATTGGGAAGTGTCATTTCCAAGGGTATGTGTGTCCCTGCCCTGCCTCTCTCTTTCCCTGCTTTCTGGCTCCTGCTTTCTGTGTTAAGCAGCGTTGCTGCACCACATACTGTTCCAGCCTTGATACTGAGATACAAGGACCCCGCATGGAGAGAAAAGATTCCTTGAAGTCCTCTCACGAACTGGCCAGACCCCACCCAACCAAATCACAGCCAAACAGGCTGAAGCCTGACAGAAGTCTCATCACAAGGCCACAGAACTGCAGCTACCCAACCACGGACTGCAGTCTCTGAAACCATGAGCCAAGATGACTCTTTCCTGCCTTTAAGTTGATTTTCTTTTTTTGTCACAATCAAAACTAACAGGACTCCAAAGACAGGGGCTCCTGGGCTCAAATGGTATGGCAGTACCATCCTTGGCAACCAGTAGTTTGGGAGGAGCTCTCAAGGGAGGACTTAGCAGGAGCAATCAGGACACCTGTGCCAACAATAATGAACTCCTACAAGTCAATCCTGACGCGGGTGGACATCTGCCAGCTTAACTACAGGCCTGCACCTCCAAATCCATTTACACAAAGTCAGCTTCCGACAACTGAAGTCACCTAAAAGCCAATGCTGTTACAGAGGTCCCCCTGCAGTTAATGCTCACAGATAGTAAGATGTATCCCATTTAGGTTTCTTAACTGTTTGCTAAATCCACAGCGAACATATTCTTCAAATACGAACATATTCTTCAAATATGTTCCAGCAGGGAGGCTTCCTCCTGCTATCCTTTTAAGTACAGCCTGAGGGAAAATGGCAAGCAGCACGGAGCAGGAATTTACTTAGTTGCTAGAACTGCCACTATTGCAGAGTGAAAAATACGAGTATCTCTCTTCTCATCTAGGGGTGAGTCAGACAGAACGCACATTGAGAGTAATTGCCGATCAATACAAATTCTGTTTTGTTTAATGTGGTCCGAAAGCATCAGATATTGTAAGATAAAATCATAAAGAGAAAGCCTGCAAAGGCAAGGAAATACTCAATGAAGTAGAAAATACTAGAAAAACATAACATGGTGAAACATCATTGTAAGTTCAGCAGCTACTTTTTTCAAAAAATTCACACACACAAAAATTAATTTTATAATATCCTCACAACCAAATTCATTACAAAATGTCACCCCCACATAATCACAGGAGTATGTCTGAATTAAGTTTTCCTTTTTCGTGCTCTTGCACGTCTCAGCCTCCCCTTTCTCTTCCCAAACACAGGCCTGGCGGTCACCAGCACAGCCTTGGGCTTCTCTCCACCCTCGTCGCTAGAGCTGCTGGTGGTCCCATCTCTGTCCTGCACGGGCACTTCCCGCACTGAGCGCCGCAAACCTGCAGAGCTGACTCCGGAGTCTTTAGCTTCTCTTCTGCTCTGTGTGCTCACCAAAGGCAAACTTCGAGAATCTTCACCAGAAGATGTGCCCGGTGACTCCGAGAGGTAGATCTTCCCCAAAAACCCTCCCCGGCTACCCTCTTGGCTCGATTCTGAAACTCGCTTTCTCTTCAGGCTTGCTGCCTCTTCCGCTTTCTGTGCCCGGTTTCCCTTCTGAGCTTTTTCTTTTTCTTCATCAAGGATCTCGGACTCTTTCTCCATAGCAACAGAAACTGCTTCTAGCTCACTGGCTGCTGCTTCTCTTTCCTTCCTCAGCATACACGTCACAGCTCTGCTTAGTCTCTGGCTCTTAATGCGTTTGGTCTCCTGTCTCTCCTGCTGAGCCATTCTGAAGAAAGAATCAACTCGGAGCTGTGTCTAAAATAAAACAAAATGATTCGTCAAGCAAGTAGAGTCTCCAAACCGAACCAGCAAGCCCAACCCTGGTGGCTCACACCGGGTTACTAGTGTAAAGAACAGTAACTCGTGATCCCCAAAGCCCTGTGAATTAAGACGGCGAACATCAGTAATTTCTATGTCAGATTTAACTTCTAACTCTAGCAAGTAAGTTCTTACTCCACATCTCAAATGGGAACTCTCTTCAGAGATACTCGAAGAGTAGTAAATATTTTTCTGTCAGCAAATACATCATCTTCTTGGTGGGAATAAAATTTCATAAGTCACGTTGTCTAAGTCATGTTGTCTGCTTTTTAAAAAAGCATCATATACTCAGACGAGCCCACGGTTTATATAGGTACCCTAAGAAATATCCGTCCCCCTTATTCAGCAAATCCAATTTGGGAAGATACTTTTTTTTTTTTTTGTCTTTTTCATTTTTCTCGGTAGCAGGGATGGAACTCAAGACCGCCTGCTTCAAGGCAGGTGCTTATGCCACTGAGCTAAATCCCCAGCCCCTGAAGATACTTTTAAAAATACAGTTACACATGGGAAAATTCTTTGGCCTATATTCAAGCATTAACTGCCAAAACCTAAAAGTAAAGGTTCATCAAACTGAACTACTTTAAATCTCCTTAATAAAATCTAATGCAGTCATGTAAAATTATGAAATCTATGGAATACACAGAAGAAATGTATGCTAATACACGGCAGGGTAGAGACCAGAAATATAAAACCCCACTTATGTAGGGTAAAAAATGTGGGAAAAGAAACTAAGCCTACATATTACCTGCTGTATTAGAGGAGGTACATAAGTAGTTTAATTTATTGCTTTACTTTCTAATTTTGGAGAAATAAGCCTACACTAAGTCCTATAATAAAAAAAGGGAAAGTAATACGGTGAAAATTATCTGTAGGTAGGAGCCACCGGTCACTAAGACACAGCTTTCATTCGCAGTTGGTTTCCAGTGGATAAAAACCATCACACAAAGAGGAAATTCCCGGAAATGTTGTTTTCTCAGTTTTATGGGGTTTTTTCCTCAAAACTAACCAAACTGAACAGAAACTGACTTAACAGACATGGTTTCATTGCTGGTATATGTCTTCTCGCACACTTGTTCCAGGCCCCCCCCAAGGTGAGAGGGGAAGGGGCTCGTTCTCGGTGAGCAGGACACAGGAGCGGGCCAGCGCTGGCTGAGGGAACCCGAGTACCAGCACTCGAATGTGTGGAGACGCCCTACGATAGGTAACTGCTCTGGACCAGCTGCCCATCGCACCCTGACTATGCTTGCTGTCCCCCGAGCTTAGGAAAAGCCACCTCGGTTACCTGCTGGGCACTCAGCTGCTTTAATACCGGAAACAGAGATTCGTCTGTCTTGGTCCTGCTCCAGCCGAAGTACCGCTGACAAAATGTGCTGGCAGTTAAGACTCGTAAGTGTTTCTCAAAGTTTTCAAGTAAGTGATAAATAAAAAGGTCCAAGGAACCCAACTGTGATTCCACTCCCTGTATCTCCAAAGATTTCATATTTGTAAAGATTAAAGTGTCAAAATACAGTAATAAAAATAGTACTCAACACGATGATCTTGCAGTGTGTTCTTTCCAACCTTCTAATGGAATTACTCAACATTTTAGGACCTGAAAACCTAGTGACTAGAAAAAACAAGGCTCACCGAAAATCAAAACAAGTCTTATATATTTCTTTAAGAGAAAAAAAAATAAACTTCAGTTAGATTAGTTCTATGACAACTTTTTAAACTACTACTCAAATGATCATTTAAGTGCACAGGCTGGAAAAATAGTAATAAAAAACACACGTAAGTGTGCGGTGTCATCTGTGATGCTGTTACTGTCCCCTCCAAGGAGAGCTGAAGAGACAGGGTCTTAGACAACCGAGACAAGACGGAAAAGTGCCCTGTGAGTTTTCAGCCGGGCACGCGTTGGACTCCGAGTCCCCTAACGTTTTAGGACATCAAGGATATTCTCTGATTTTGTCCACGTCGGGTCGGCCCCACAGAAACGAGCCTTTGGAGTCATCCACCACGGGCCTGAGGTAGGCGTCTGCCACCGCGGGGTTGGGAAAGCCAGGGGTGAGCTGCAACTTCCGCAGCTTTTTCTTCACCTTGGTGTCATGAGGATTGGGCCTTATCTTCGGGTTCTTTTGGGCTTCCTGCCACCACTCTCTGTAACGTGAAGCAATCAGACATAAATTCATCCACTGCAGGCGAAGGGCTAAACCTAAAGCTCTGAAATATAGACTCAAGTCCTGACTTAGACACAAATTACACCACATGGAGAACTAACATTATTATTTTCAGTAGTGTTAGCCTCAGGTATAGTGATGGGTAAACATCTTCAGGAGGCTTTCTCTGTACTTGCTACTGTGTTAAATATTTCATAGACCTAGTGCCCACATAAGCAGCTTCCCATCATTATCTTCAGCTCAGGAGGAAACAACAGAAACAGAACAGCTCAAGATTTCCTAGCTGGAGTCGGTAAACTCAGACAACGACCCTCTTCGGAGCACTCACTTGTAATTCTAATACCTTAGGAGTCACAATTTTTCTCCCAGCAGTAACATGGAAATAATGCATCTGCACTGTTTACCTCTGGTCAAATTAAACGATGGATCCAGGAACATTAGGTAAAACATTAATCAAACAAAGTACCACACCCACCAGGGGGAAGCAGATATGCAGAAAAAGAAAATGTAAACAGATTAGTAGAAGAAACTATTTTTCTATGTGCAAGGCAGTGTTTGAAGAAAGAATATAGTTGCTTATTTCCTTTTTTGTATTTTACCCATTTTTCTTTTTTGTTGCTTTCTAACAGTTTTCTTATGGTATTTAAAGGAAACCATGTACTCTTTGGCACTACCTCCCACCAAGAAGGGAGGTGAGGCGGGCTCTGATGGACGGAATAACAGACAGTGCAAGGTGCTGTGTGGGCCTCCGACGATGGATGGTTTCCACGTTCCCTCCCTGTCTCCTGGAATATCTGCTCTTGAAGCAGCCACCCTGCTCTGCAGAAACCCACGTTCTCGAAGAGTCCACAGGGAGAGGCACAGCTCCTCGGTCTCGCCTCCCAGTGACGGGACCACCTGGCCCTAGATGGCTATGTGTGTGAGCCACCTAGGGCAAAACCTCGAGCCCGGCTGAGCTGTTCCAAGTGACAAGGAACAGAAACAAAACACTCCCAGAGGCCCGACTGAACTTCAGAAGCACGCGCAAAATCAATGGCAGCTGCCACCTCAGGCCACTAAGGTTTAAGTTAGTTTGCAATGCACCAACGGAAACCAAAAAAAGTACACCACTGGGAAAAATAAACAGCATCACAGAAATATAGTCCTCACTACTCCGTGCACTCAGCGGAAGCGATTAAAAAACACCTATGTCTCGGCACCACTGCCGGATGCTAGCACTGTCTCAGGAACTCGGTTCCAGAGCGCTCAGAATGCTCGTCTCACTGGTGCAAGAGTGCCACCTGGTGTTGGAAAACTTAATTGCAGTCTTTGCTGTAGGAGCCAAAAGCAAAAAAAAAAAATTTCTCCAGATTTTCCAATACTGCTTCCAAGCATACAAGGCGGGGGGAGGACACACCTATAATCCTCCCCCACTTTCTTGTAAACTTCCATCTTTGAAATAGCAATCATAACTGACAGCCAGGGGAATCTGCCCCACACACTAAGCTTATCTAGCCGAAAACCACTTCTAAAAGCAAGAAGGCTGGCACTGTAAGGTGAGATGAGAGAAGGCTGGGGTCTGTCAACCTGCTCAGCTATGGGGACCCAGGAGAGGACAGTGCTGACCACCGTGAGGAGCGTGAAGCCTCACACAGGAGGGGAGCTGCTGTCACCAGAGTCTGGCTGCCTTTGGGGCTAGCTGAGACCTGGGTCCACGATGTTCAGCTCCCCTTCTCCCCTCAAGAAAAACAACAAGTTATGTGAACATCAGAGACAATTCAACAATAAAAACCTATGAAAAAACCACTGTGAATGTCCAGTAAACACCGCTGGGGCTGTGTTCAGCCTGCTGGCCAGAAGTCTGACCACTTTAAAGACTGCCGGGGTCTGATCAGGAGAACAGAAAAGAAAGCAAGGCATCATGTGAATTTGATTTCTGGTCTCTCACTCTTCCAGGCCTTAATTCTGCATCCTTCCCAAGTCCCGTTCTTGTTAAAAAAAAAAAAAGAAAGAAACTATATATACATATATATACATATATAATTAAGAGTACAATGTACATAAAAAATCCTAGTTATGTAACCCAAAATGTTAAATGTAATCTTTTTTAATCTATACTTTATAATTTTTCTATTATGTATTTATTTCACTTGCATAATAAAGTTATTGCCAATTTTTCAAGTTATTAATCCACAGTGATCTATGAGATACCAAATAAATTATCCACGATATACAAATTTCTATAAGAAAAGTATGAAGGGGCTAGGTTTGGCTCAGCAGTATAAACACCTGCCTGACAAGCGTGAGATCATGAGTTTGTTCCCCAATACCAAAAAAAAAAGATAAGTATGAGTAGAGAGACTTTTAAAAGTATTACTAATCAGAGACATTGATAGGCATGCTAAGGCTGGACGGAGGTCATTACAATCATTTCTCATCCTATTTCAGTGGTTCTAGTCACCATGTCTTCAGAGAATGTCCTTGCATTTTCTAAACACTGCAGATAAAATTGATCACTAAATTAAATTAAATCAGTTACCACCAGAGTATTTCATCACAAACTGCTGGTCAAAATGCCATCATAATCTTATGAATACATTAAACACCATGGGTTGCACACTTCTATTAAGTATAATTGTTGAAAAAGTCATATATATTTAAGGTGTACATAATGGGGTTTTTTTGTTTGTTTTGGTATCTTGGATTGAACTCGTGGCCTTACGCTCGCCAGATAGGCACTTATAACTCTGAGCTAAGTTCCCGGCCTTACAATATGTTCTAACATACAAACCATACAAACCATTGTGAAATGATTACCGTGACCAAGCTGATTAACCTACCCATCACCTCATCTATTTATAGCCATTCTTCATTCTTTCTAATTATGACATCTGATAATAGCACAACTCAAAAAATACTCAAACAAAAAGCAAAACATGCTCAGCATCTCATTCCCAGGAACAGCGGAAAACAGTGAAGGCCATTTGCTGACACGGCTGTCCACCAGTGGTCTCTTCCTATCTCTATACATTAATGCATTTCTGAAGATAAAAACCTGATGAGGCCCACGATACTGTTTTATAACCCACTGTTGCACTTAATGGAATACACTAGACACTTTTCACCTTGATTGCAGAAAGGTAGGGGACCTCGAGGTGGGTGGCGGGGGACAGAGAAGCAGAAGGGATAAAAGGAACTAAGACGTGCTCTGGTCAGGCACCAGCTCCGCATGAGCAATGGAATCATCGTGTACTGCAACTAGTACTAATAAAAAATAAAATCTGAAGAAAATAGTAACAACAGGGTACACTTTAAGGCATGCAAATTATATTTCAAACTTTAAACAAAAGATGGCATCAAGGGCAAACCTGAAGAACGAATTCTACTTTATTTTCAGAAGTACTGGTACTGAACCTCACATCTTGTGCATGCCAGGCAAGTACTGTATTACCAAGCAAGGCCCTGGCCCAAGCACTGCTACTCCACAGACCTATGCGTAACTCTCAGAGTCTCCACACTCAAAAAGCTGTACGCAAATCTACAGCCAATGCTGGGCTCTGGACAGCGAGAGATTCTACCACTGGCCGTGCCACAGCATTCACAGGGTGAGGAACAGGACAGCAGCTGGATGTCGAGCTCCTGGCCTTCTATTTCCACATTCTTTTCTGGCTCACTTTTCTCAGATGCTACCCACACAGAAGTAAGATTACGCTCATTTCTCCATCTCCACAAACATGAGGAGCTTCTGGTAGGCTCAGATCTGACACACAGAAGCTACTGAGTAAATATCTGAGTGAATGAACTGGCAACTCGGATGCTGCTATGAATACACAGGTACTGTGAACTAAAGACAGAAACTGAGTCTGATTTCATGCGTACTGCAGGAACCTCAGCCATACTCCTCGTTTTCTCAATGAGTAGGACTGACGACAGCTCATGAGTTAAGAAACAGTTCCACTGTAACAGAAGATTCCCCCACCAGTACACTTCGGTTTCTTAGGTGCACAGATGATGGTTCCTGCTCCAGTTCTGGTTGTTCTTGCCTCTCCGAAACTGCTGGTCACTGTGCTCATAGCTGGTTACCATGATGCACACTGTATAAACCAATCCCCAGCTGACAAGCCATTCTGCCTCAGTATTTCCTGCTTGCTTATCTCATATAAGCCCTAGACCACCAGAGATCAGGACCTCGTATTCTGGGAATGATCCCAACCATTGAACATCAGTGTAAACAAATCTGCCTCCAAATCCTGGGTTTTGTTTCAGTGTTTCTGCTCGCTGTTGCATCTGGCGCACTAGCCAGGAAGACCAACCAAGCTGACCTCTTTGGTCACTTTGTGGCCCTCACAGAGAACAAGGACTTCTCCAGGTCCCAATGGGAATGTGTGCCCTTGGGATTTCTCGAGTCCCCTCAAAGGCCTGGAGGAGGATTCCTGGCGCCTCACTCAAGCAGCTTACAATGTACCCTAAAGAGAGGAGGAAGCAATTTGTCTATCTGCCTGCCTGCCTGATTCCCATAATACCCCAGGGTTACCCTAGTTAGTCAGTCTGTCTGTTCTGCTCAGTTTGAACAGAAGAGCTTGGTCAATTCTTGTTAATTAAGGCCACTCTCAAGGGTTGGAATATTTAACCTCTGGGTGCCTGCTGAACGACTGTGTGAGAGGAATGGCCAGCATAAGCAATAAGCTGCTCCGTATGTGCACCAAGACTGGGAAGCGCTGACTGAGCCCTGGCCTGCAGTTCCATGGCAATCGATACAGGGCAAAATGGGGGCACAACACACACAGCAGGAAGTCAGAGATGAGAATTAGTTAAAACCCACAGTTCCTGACTGCAAGAAAAAAAAGGCTTTTCCAGAGTTAAAAGTGAAACCAAACCACTCCTTGCATCTAAAAGAAAAGGAAGAAAGAAGCCCATCCTTCCTGAGAATTCCACCTTGGCACCCCATCACCACCACCATTGCTGCCAACACCTACAGCTTCACTCTCCACTCCCAACTCGCCTACTTCCAGCCAACTGAACTGGCTCCAGCTGGCCACTGCCTACATTTGGCCACAGAAGTCCTCCCACTGAACCTTGTGCTTCATGGCTATACCCAACCTGGTGAGACAGCATCCTCTAATGCCCACCTGAGGTGAATGTCAACAACTCTTCCTGAGTTCCACATGACTGAGGAAAACCTGGACTGTCAGCCCTGAAGAATGAGTTGCTATAGCCTTTCCTAAAGGTCATCCTGCCAAGAAACCTCAAATCAGTCAAGCGCTTCACAAAGACGTCAAGAAGAGGGGGAAAAGCCTATCAATCACTGCTACCCAGAAACCTGATAAAATAAAAGCAGCTCATGTCCACAAGAAAATCCAGTCTGATAGACAACCACACCCTCTGTCTATGAGTTATGAGGACTATAGATACTAAACAATAAACGCCCATTCAGATTAAAAAAATAAAAACTCTCAAAAGCTTCAACGTCGATCAGATTGCATTGGTCTGATGGGCCCAGACGAGGCCAAACTGGGCTCTGTTCTTTAGCTGGGCCACCAGGAGCCCATAGCACCTAGGACTCTTGCCTCTTCTGCCAGGCACAAATTTGCAGCCTGGGCGGGGGGGTGTCATCTCTTGTGTAAGCCAGTACCCATACTGCTTGTGGGAAGAGAACTCCTTTTCAAATTAAAAGCAACTGTTTCTCTGCACCAAGTCCGTCAGCCTTCCTCTCATTTAATCCTGCACTCTCAACTTTGACCGTACTCTGAGAGGAAGATGATGCCTGCATCAGCCTGACACAGATAACCACAATCCTAAAGTTCTCGAAACTCTCCTCCCTGAGGTACAGATTAAGGACTCACCTCTGGGCTTGGCCATCAACCATACCGTCTCACCATGACCTCCCCCTCAGTGCTGTCAGATGTCACAGGAAGCACAATCAGGCATGCAGCACACATCAGCCTGACAGAAAGTTGATCACCTTGGGCAAGGTCTCTGTGCCATCAACAACACAGCCTTTCACTCTGCTGTTCCCAACCCATACACCCCTTTCTAGACTGTTTCAGATTTAAAAGATGCCTACCTCTGCTTGCCAGTTGCTCCCATAAGCCCCTTCACGTGGGAAAATCCTGAGATAAAAAGTCAGCTCACTTGGACTTGATTGTCACAAGGGGTTAAGAACTTTCCTACTGTTTTCAGGGAGGCTCCAACAACAGATTTGGCCAAGGCCATACTTTTTCTAGGCAGTTTCTCTGTCCCTTCCCACTCTGTCACAGTCCCCCGAGAAAACAGTATAGATGTAAAACTGCTAAAATATACCTCTCCTGCCTGTAAAGCCAATTCAAGATCTCCAAGATGCCAAGTTGCCAATGCCACCACAATTATCTTCCATATATGTTGCTCAGTCTTCTGCCACTCATAGTCTGCTGTTACACCTTCCTGGACCTAAAAAAGGATGCTTTTTTCTGACATCAGTTGGCTCCTGTCAGCCAGCTTCTCTTTTTTTTTTTTTTTTTTTTTTTTTTTTTTTTTTTTTTTTTTGTCTTTTTCCTTTTTATCGGTACCAGGGATCGAACTCACGACTGCCTGCTTGCAAGGCAGGTGCTTATGCCGCTGAGCTAAATCCCCAGACCCCAGCCAGCTTCTCTTTGCAACTGACCTGGGCTCAACCTCCCAGAGTTCAAAAATTTGTTCCCTCTTTAAAAAGCATTTCTGATTAATGACACTTTCCAACTGTCTTCTGGAAAGGCACAAAAGCTCTTCTGCAATATCAGGCAGAAACTGGTTAATAGAAAGAAACTCTGCAAATTTCTTAGGGCTGCTACAGAATCTCACTTCTATAGAATCTGGATCCTTGAGCTCACAAAAACAATAATGCTCACACAGACTGTCAGCCCCTGGGGCGCCCAGTGGCCTTCCTGTGCACATACCTGGATTCAGTGCCTAAGGGCTGTCTCCTCACTTTGCCTCCAAGCTCTAACAGCCACTGTCCTTCTGATCTCGAAAGCTGACAAATTCACTTCAGACTGAGACCTAACTGTCTAGGTGCCACATCCGTACTGGGGTGAACTGTTCTAAAAAATAGATCTCCTGACACATGCTGAGCACAGCGTGTTGACAGATGAAAGTAGCTCTCTTAACAATGAAGTCCCACAGCCGAAGTACACTGTGGTCACCTTGAACAAAACTATTTTGGCCAGAACTCTCTTGTGGGGATGATGCTGTTTGAAACTTGTTCCTGCTGCTGTTTGGAACCTGTCACCAACAACACAAAATAATCTAGTCCAGAGCCGAAGTCTCCTCTGGGGATCTGACTGACTAGAAGCATCAACCCCAGCCAGAAAAAAAACTTTATCTGGTAATCCCAGAAGATCCATTTTAATCACAGCCACAGCCACACCCACCATATGGTCTTCAAACCCAAGCCACAGTGCTGGCACCTGTATCCCTGTAGCTAGCTCAGCTTCAGGGTCTGGTCACTGGCCCCAACCTCCCATTCCCTCCCACACTGAGAAGAAGTATGTAGAGCCTTGCATTGAAAATCATCCCTACACAAGGCCTACCTTGATCACTGGCAGTAAATATATTCCCACATACACATATAATCCAGGTACATATTAACAACTCTAACTTTCAGAAATCCAGCCTCAGGTCTGCTGGAAAATTTACCTGGACAGTTCTTCTAAGGCTCATTTTAAAGAGATAATGTGCTCCATTCATGCTCTGGTCACTATGGATGCTGACCAGTCCATGTAGGGTTGAAGCCTGAAGACATCATTCACAGGATAGCTCCATACCTCTCACCTTGACTTTTGTGTCTTTTCGGGCTGCTTACTCCAATCATTGCTCCCCTGCCCCCTGCTAGCTGTGTATTTTTGCCTTAAACTCTGTGGATGGCTGCCCCAAGAGAATATAACAATCAAAAACTTGACCAAAATCTGATGACTGTCCAAGACATGGACACTCTCCTAGGTCAGATTAACTCCCTCACCCCTGAGTAATGTCACAGAACAGACAGCCTAAATTATGTCTCTTCTTAAAAACAACATAGGGAAAAACTCCACAATAAGATGATTTTAGGGAGCTGGCTAGGGTCCATCCTAGGTTCACTGACAGCTTCTAATTGGACCTTGTCTCAGATGATCACATGTAATATGCCCAGATTTGCCGGGGAAATTAAAAGAGGGGAAAAATGTGACAGAAGATGGCCCTCACCAGTGTACTTCAGCTTCTTGGTTGCCCAGATAACAGTTCCCGTTCCAGATCCAGATGCTTCTATATCTTAGAAATGGCTGGTCACTGCAATGCACAGCTGGTCACTGTGATGCACACTGTACAAGCCAATCCCCAAATGATGAGCCATTCTGCCTCTGTGCTGCCTGCTTGCTTATCCCATATAAGTCCTAGACCAGCTGAGATCAGAACTTGAGATCCCGATCAGTGATCATCAGTGTAAATGAATCTGCCTCCAAACCCAGGTGTCATTTCAGTATTTCTGCTTGCCATGGAACTATTAATCTGAGTATTTATAAAAACACATGAATTAAAGAACCAAGAAAGAACTCACGAGAATTTTAGAAGGGGGTCCAGACCATGTCCTGGGAATTCATTGAGAATCTCCATGGCAGTTATACAACCTACGGTTGGAATCCCCTCAGTGTAATCACTGCCAAGCAAGTAGGCCAAATTTATTAATTTGTTCCGGTCCAATCCTAGAAGAGTAACCATTATTACTGCTAATACTTACTTGACAAAAAATTTTATACCACATTTATAACCACTTCATTGTGTAAACTATATATATATACAGATACAGATATATATCTCCTCATCCAAGAGCCACAGATAGCTCTTTTCTGATTCAAAAATAGATTATTTTTAAATGGAATTCTACTTCATCCAGTGTCACAGCTTTAAATTTCTGCTACGTGCTGACCCCAGCGTTGGCTTTATAGCCTGGACCTCTCTATGCCACAGTCACTGATGCTCAGCTGCCATCCCCATACCTCTCGGGGACCTCAGTCCCATGCATCCAGACCTGAGCTCTTCCTCGCCTGCTGTCCTACTCTGAGCCATCCTCAGTCTCCCCTGTCTCCTCCAAGGCAGGGCCACCCTGCCAGGTGCTCAGAAGCTGACTCCTCGTCGCCTCCCTCTTCTGTACCCCACACCCCACCCACCCAGCCCCTTTCCCTAGCACGCATCACCCTGACTTTAGTCCCTCCGCACTCTGACATTAACTCCTCCATTTTCCTGCCCATACGCTGGCTTCCCTGTTCCCCGGGACACACCACACAAGCTCCTGCCTCAGGGTGACGTACCCCTCGCTGAGCTGCCAGTCTACAGCACTCGCTCCCCACTGCCTTAAGACAGTGGGCCCTACGGTCACATGTGGAGAAGGCCCTTCTTGGAAATGGCACGCACATTCCCACCATGGCTCACTTCTCTCCTTCCTGCTATATTTTTTCTGTAGGATGCACATTGCCAACTATCAAATGATGACCAATGTGCCTGTTTATCGTCTGTCTCTCTTACTAGACTGCCTCAGCCGCTGCTGTTTTCCCACTGCCAAGCATGACTGGCACACAGGAGCCACTCACACAACCGCTGGCTAAAAGGAAAAACAGATGATCAATGCCACAACACTGACACAGGCCCGAGAGCAGGCCAGACTTAACCTGCTTCCTCCCTCTCCCACCCCGGTCTGCTCTAGAGATCTTGGTAACTGGTCAACTAACCAGCTCAGGTGATCAACCACAGAAAAAGCCAACAGGTACTCAGATTTTAACTTTCTAAGTCTAATTGTTAAAATCCTATTCCCCTATATAAGCCATTCTTGAGAACTTGTATAGATCCACCATTTCCACTAATGTACCAACTTAGCTCCCCAGGAAGCAAAATATTCATGTGGCAAATAGCACAGGTACGTTTCAGGAAGTTCACACAATTCTCACCTAATTGGTTGTGAAAGTCCACGTACTGATAATACTCTACAAACTTGTTTTTATTAAAAAAGTTCTTGTAGACATGTCTAGCGCCAAACAGCCAGATATCACTGTCTTCAGTGATGGTTCCCGAAGTCTGATCAGTGAGGTCCAGGATGGCGCACTGGGCCTCTGCCTCCATGGGTGCCTGGATGTAGGGAACGCCGAACAGGCGCAGAAGCTCCTGTGGGACAGACCCATGGTGATCCAGGAAGATGCAAGACGGGCCTTGGCCACAAGGGGGCAGTGCACTACCGGGGAAGTCCGGCCAACACCCCCTGCACCTACCTGGCTTTCCAAGAACATCTGTCCTGAGACAGTGGACGCGATCCGTTCTTGCTGCTGTTTCTGTGCGCTGAGTGAATTCTGTTGCGCTAAAAGGTCACTCTCCAGGGATTCCAGCTCCTCCTAGAACATGATGTTTTGCATTTGTAAGTCTATTCATCCAGTTAGGATCCCTGGTCACAGAAGCCTGCATTTTATCACCTGACACTTCCAGCAACCCTTCCTCCTTACCAACTATTCCACTTGGATTTCCAAGCACAACTCTGCCGTTTCTTTTGAGTCCCCTCACTAACTCACATGGAAAGGGAAATCTATCCCAGACAGTAACCTACACAAAATGGAGAAATCAACAAGAAGGTGTACTGCGAAGAGCTAATCAATATTCAAGAAACAGCCTAAAAGTCAGAAGCTGCTTCTCCTGGCTTCTTTACCAATAAAGTTAAAACACAATGTCACATCGTTACCAAATCAATATCTTGCCATTCATTGAATGAATCATCTGCATCTTTCTCAGCTTCTTTACGCGGCTCAGTATCTGAGTCCTCGCTTCCTAAGCTGTCCTGCAGGAGGCGCTGGGTGTCGCCCGCAGGTTCTTCCTCCTCTGTTCCTCCGGGTTCTTCTTCCTGCGGTTCAGAGGGACTACTGGGAGCTTCGGTGGATCCAACCTGAAGTGTGTCGTCACTGGTCACACTCTGCACTTCAATGAAACTCCCTGCACCAAAATAATCAGTTTACATCCTCGACAGCTGACATGGGATATCCTGAAACTACAGAACTGTCTGAAGACTCTTGGAAAATGCTGTACACCAAAAGAAAACACTTAAATAACATGCTACTAGTAAACCAATTTAATCAAATGCCTGTAAGTTCAACTAGATAACTGCTTTTGAAAATAGAAACCAAATGCTCAAAGACTTCAATACTTGCTTTATAAAAAATATCTGTTCTAAGTTAACTTACATTGAATTCACAAGCATAGAGACAATCTCAGAGTTTGTCCAGTGTATTTTAATGCTATTTTAGTATAAAGACAGCAAAAAATAAAACTGAAAAAACCCAGTTAAGTACTCAGGAGAAGCAGCTCTTCTTCCTCTGCTTTCCTTCCCTCCTCTCTTGTCCTTTCTTTAAAAATAAGTATTGGTTCCTTTCTTTCCCTCCAGTGGAGCAGGTAGGTAAGGCCTATCTGGCTGGATTCAAGAAACAATTAGGACACAGGCAGGGGCTAGGGCAAAGGAGGAAACAGCGTGATGGAGATAAGTTTAAATACAAAGAAAGAAGCCCATAAGCAAATATACAAAAGAATATGGGGCTCCCACTGTCAGGAAAATGTAAAAAGATGGAACAGGCTAGAACAACCCCTGGGATGTGAGATTGAATCCTAGGTATCAACATGAACTCAATAATCTTGATGTAAACAGATACAAATGTGTGTGCTGTATTGTGCATGTGTGCACGTGTGTGTGTGTGTGTGTGTGTGCGCGTGCGCACGCGCATACAGACAAGTTTCCCGGCTCACAGTGAGCACACCCAGCACCCAGCTCGTGGTTTACAAACACCCTGCTGCACTGAAAGAACCAGGCTGCCGCTGAAATGTCTGAGAACAGGGCTGGGACAGGGTGAGTACGAGATGAGCCCAGGACATCCTGGTCAGAAGCCAAGGAAACGCTCAAACTATAATGTCAAAATATGTCAAAAGCCACAGGAACCAACGTAGAGCAGCCCCACTGGCCAAGCTCAGACAAAAACAGCAGTAAAGTGAATTACGACACTGTCAGAGTGTAACTCGCTGAACAAAACAGGAATCCAGAGCCCTCACTGATTAAAAAAGAGAGACAGGAAAGATCTTCCTTAGATCAGGGTGCCAACTGGCAAACATTTAAGGGATGATGAACTGCAAAACCACCATCTGGCAACCACCATGACAGTGATTAATTCAGAAAAACGTGGTCAGTGGGATGCTAAAACGGCGGGGGGCCTCACCGCCCCAAAATCTCTTTCCACAAATACTCATGGCAAAGGGGCAATAGGAACATCAGAACGTAGAAACCTGATAGACATCAGGACACAGGGTGTGTGTGTGTGTGTGTGTGTGTGTGTGTGTGTGTGTGCTGTGTTTAGAAAGAATGACAACCCACAGACAGAGACAATAAAATCAGTGTGCAAAATGCCAGCGAGTTCGGCATGAAGGAACCAGACTTTTCTACAATATTCTTTCCACATTTTAAAGCTTGCCATTAATTCAAAATAGAAGTGGTTTGGTTGGTTAAAACCTACAGCTTTGCATTCTTCACTTGGGGACTCCTCTCCCTTTACAACAAAACACAGTAAAGCAGGGAAGACAGGGTTCTACTCCCCGCTGGGTCAGTGGGAAGTCACTGCCCTTGCTGCCCGGTCCCTGTCTGTTAGAAGCAGGCCCGGGGCTACGCGGGAGGGTCTCTCAGTCCCAGGGAGACAGAACCCTGCCATCTGCACCTCGGAAGGGGGCAGCACCTACCATCAGATTCGCTCTCTTCAGAGTCCATTCCCAGCGGCTCCAAGGACTCTGGAATGGAAATGATCTCCCGGCCTGCCGCTTTCTCTTGTTCTTCGATGGTTTTCAGGAAGTTCCCGTGTTCCTTAGCACTACACGGCCCTGCATCTCCTAAGCGGGCAGCTCCCCGTGAAGGGACATTTGCTGTGTTTTTCTCTTGTAAAATCCCTGTGCCAGTGGCCTTCGAAGCAGGACTTCGTCCAGCTTCTGTCTCATCGTCGCTTGAAAGAGTGGAGGTCTCCCCCCGACTCACAGACAGGCCGAGGTCCATCTGCAGTGTGGGCTCCCCCCCTCTGGGCAGCCCCGGGGCATCACCGTGCGGCCTCTCTGTGGGTGCTAAGGAAAGAGGACCTCTGCTCCCCTTAACCGCAGCCTCGGCACTGGGCTGAGAGGCTTCCTTTGCGGTGTAAGTGGGTGACACTGGCTTTGGAGAAACAGGAGATTCACCTCCCTGACCATCGAGAGCACTGCGCAAACGTGCCACGTCCGTTGCCTGGTCTGCAGGCTCCTCTGCAGAGCCCGGGCCAGGGGCAGGGGGCCCTGCAGTCACCAGCGCTCCCCCTCCAGCTAGCCCCGTAAGTCCTTCCCCACGTTCCTCGCCAGGACACTCCCTGGGCTCGATCCTCACTGCCGGCTCTGCCACTGGCACGCTGTCCCCCACACGTGGACACACGTCCTCGTCCTCGTCAAGGGCTCTCTGGATTGCCCAGAGTGTCCGAGGTGACATGGAGCCGTCACCCGCGGGGGCCGGAACTCCCCCAGCACTGTGCTGCCCGCCGTCCAGCTCATCTTCCGAGCTGCCCCCCAGCAGGGCAGCCTGCAAGGCCAGCACAGTCCGTGGAGAAGGAGGTGCAGCCTCTGCCGCCTCCTCTGGCTTCGGCTTCTCATCAGGAGGTGACTTGGGGTCAAAAGATGTGCTGTGCATTTTGCTGGAAGAAGGAAAAGACTCTGATCCCGCGGCTGCAGCCTTCTTAGTCTGAAGACCTGAAGAAAAATTAAAACGTTTCTCACTACACAGCTTTAGTGTGACACCACGCATCTGGTAAGCTGGACGAGACGCTTAAACTGCGTTTAATAGTGAACTGAGAGTCAAGTCATTAGTTAGTTTTGAAGTAGGGTGGCACCATAATAGGTAACCTGTTAACATCTCTATATAATTACTGTTCATAAGCAGAATTCCACAAATAACACCAGAGGCTGGAGTTTAGCACACTCTGAGCCATGACGGATCGCTGGTTTTTAACTGTCAGACCAATGATGCTGCCAGGTACCTTTTATCAGGATGTAGTGTGAGGTGTCCTCCGAGACCACCCGCCTGGATTCCACCTCCTTCAGGAAGCCCCCCTCCTCTTCATACTGCTTCTGGATTTGTCCTGAGTGCTGCTGGTTCATTTCCTTCTGGACATTTTCTATGTGCTGGTTTAGATAGTTTTTTTTAAGCAAGCCTTTGAGCTGGTACTGTGAGAAGTCATTGGACTCCTATAGGTAAAATAAACAAAACTTGTCTTACACTGAATACAAATAATAGTACCACATTTCCACCTCTTTCCTCCCAAAAAAATAAATACCTCCTTTCCTTAGTGGTACTTCTACAAAAGTAAAAGTTGAGTACTAGAGAAAACTGTAACTACCTTTTAAAAAAATATTTTAAAAACAGACATAAGCAAAAGAATCATAAATGCTGTCCATTTAACCATATATTAAAAAATCTGCTCCGAGCATGTATACGTGGCAGAACCATCATAGCTGATTAAGCTCAGTCTTCCAGAAAGCAAGTCCACGCTGCTGGCCCATAGAAGACCCCCCATAATAGTCACAGCTATCAGAGCCACTGACGGTAACAGTTAACAGTTATAAAGCACTCCCCATAAAGGGCTTTCTTCTAAGGGTTTTTATAGAAACTACCACCATTCATTCTCGCAATCATTCAATGAGACACATCGTTATAGCCACTCAAAAGCGAGTGCTAAGACTTCAATCAGTGAAGTAACCCTAAGGTCTGGATCAGAAGGAGACGGACCTCCATCCTTGGGCCTCTTTCATTACCGTCATTACTGTCATTATCACTGCCTTTCACCATCACTGCTATGACCGACACCCCAATTACACAGTGTGCAGGGGTACAGAGTCCCACCTGGGTGACTCAAACTTCTCTACTCCATGGAAACTACAGACCCAGTTAGATGCCAGCCCACATTACCCAACTGTCTACCAGCCCCAAGACACTATGGCTGTGGAAAGAGAATAAAGAAGAGAAAATCATTAGGGGCTGCCCTCCTCCACCCTTCCCAGTCATGTCTGCATGGCCCAAATTCTGCTTCCTCAGGTATTACCCAGACAGCCTTTGTGCTAATAGAATAGAATAAAATAAAATAAAATAAAATGCCTGACAGATGGAGCCTGCAGTTTTCCCCTGAAACAAAAATGAATACACTCCTATAAAATCAAGACACAAGAACACCATTTCAGTGCACCTTAGGATTTTCGTGTCTTCACCATTCTACATGGAAAAACAAGGATGCGATGGATACTTTGATCTTTCTGGTATCAACTTCAAAAGTATTCAAAAGCTTTCAAATGTTTTTTTAAAATTTTAAAAAAACACTACGCGTCATTAGGAATAAGGCTGCCAAATTAACACACTGTCCTGGAGTGGGTCAGGAGAAACTGTATCAGAAACACAGGTGGTGGTGACAGAAAAGGAAATAACTCCTTCAGTAGCATCTAAAGAGGGTGAGTAATTCACGGTGGCACGACTGAGGAACTAATGCAAGGAGCACAGAAGACTCCACACGCCACCTGTCCAGCCTCCTGCAGCTGCGAAGCTCTCGTCGGGGTCCTAGTTAAAGAAACACTATCCTCATGGTCCAGAAAGAGGGAAGGGAATACAGAGGCCCAATGGCCACTCTACAACTACAGAAGAAAATATGCGTGCAAGATCAAGGCCAGGACCTTCTTTTCTGTGTTTCAATTTCACCACACCATCTGCTTTTGTAGACAATGAATGTTACAGTTTACAGTTAGTTTCATGAACTGAAGAACTGAACCATTCATCACATACCAGGCATGTGAGCGATTCTGAGCTGAAGATACAGAGGTGAGCAAGACAGGCCCATTCTGGCGCTGAGACGCATACAGCAACACTGTGGGTCCTCCCAGAACACAGAGAAGAGACCTCATCTTAGGGCATCGGGTGGGTGGTCAAGATTTCTTTGAGTGAGTTTTTATCCATTCAAACCCACAAATAAGGATGCACCATAGGATCTGTGAGACACACAAATGCTCTCTACTGGAAACCGAGATATTATCTAAGTCCTGCTTATCAATTTACTCTTCTTGCTAATGAACAGTTTTGGTGAGGTTCTTAATTCTAAGCGTTAATCTACACGTGCATGTTACTGAATCTTTTACCTCCGGCATTGCTTCAAATAATGTCCTCCTTCGCTTGGTGAATTCTTTCATGTCGGTCAGGATTTCATGCTTCACTTCCAGAGGCAGGCTGCTGAAGTCCTCCGACTCGATATCTATGGCCTGAGGGTTACGAAAGAATTCTTCCTGTAAAGAAGAAACCATAATGATGATGCTGTGATGGTTGTATTTTTTTCAATCTGAGGAGGCACCAGAGGGAAGGAGCTGGGTGGGGGATGCATCCGTTCATGCATGCATGAATGAATAACACTGCACCTCATCCCCAAGGGCTGGGCCTCTCCTGAGGTACCAGGGACCTGTGCAGAGTGAGCAGGAGGAGGGTCCTGACCTCCACAGTGGAGAAAGGCTCATGACCAACAAGGAAGCAAATAAACAAGACGAAATCACATGGGTTAATCTGGTGAGAGTGACTAGGAGAACAGGAAAATATCCAAATGACAGAGAGGTCCCTACTAGAAAAAGGACCTGGACGCAGGGACCAAAGACCACCAAGAAAGCTGACTGGGGACAGAGAACCCTAAGTGGAAGGAACAGCAAGTGCGAGGGTCTCAAGGACTTTGCAATGAGCTGCATCCCCACCCCTTTTTTGTTTTATTTTGAGACAATGTGTTGCTAAGGCACTAAGCTGCCAGGCTGTGCTCAAACTTGTGATCCTCCTGCCTCAGCCTCTCAGAGTGCTGGAATTACAGGCCTGCGCCACCATATACTTGCTTGTAATTCAGTTGCAACTGGAATAGTGCAATAAACTCTGCAACCAGATTTGTGGAAAGAATTAAGTTCATGAACCAAAGTACCACTGTAACAAAGCCTGCTATCACCTGCTGCATTGGTAATAGGGAACCTTAGCATTAAAGTCCTGGGCACATGCACGCACACACACACACACACACACACAAAGCAGAGCCTGAGATGCAGGACCTTGAGATTTTAGCTAAGGTAGTTCTCACCGGATTGGTTAAAACAATATGAACAGGGCTGAGAATTTAGCTCAGCGGTGTAACTGCCTGGCTGGCAAGCACAACGTCATGACTTTAATCCCTGGTACAAAAAAAAAGGTAATAAAATACACCCAACATGGCAGCCATGTGGGCTGGGAAGAGAACCAAGAAGCCAACTCACACCCTCCTATCTATGAGCCAGCTGGCTCATCAGCTAGGAGACAAGAAGAGCACTGCTGCCTCCCACCCCGCCCCAGTAAGTACCAGCTGGGCCAAAGGAACACAGGCTGAGATGATAGAATCTGAAGCAAAAAGAAAAAAAGCAAAAAAAAAAAAAAAAACTTTAATGCTTGTATTGTTTGATTGACTTTGCGGGCCTAACGCTGATAATCTGAGCATCTATTCAGAGGATAGCAATGTATAATATAGCAACTATCAGGGATTTTCTTCTGTCTTGTTTTTGAAACATTGTTCTCACTGTTCTGTTTTGCTCCATTCTATTGTTTTGTTTTATTCCCTTTGAAATAAAAAAAAATTTTTTAAATAAAAATAAAAAAATAAAGTACACCCACATGACATACCATTTACTTATAGACGGTATGTTTTCTGTATTCACACAACCATGCATTACTAAGTATTTATTGGTTCATCAGTTGGTTGATTATAAAAGAAAACAGTTTGGTCGTACAGGTGTGCATAATGGCAAATTCTGTATGTATGTGCAATATACACCAATATACACATATAAATAAGGCATTTATATACATATAAATAAGGTACACACATAAAAAAGGTATGCCTTTATTTTTATTGGAATCTTCATAAATTCACATTACCTCATTGTTATCACTAATTTTCATGCCATTCCCTTCTAGTGGGGTTTTTTTGGTGGGGGAGTACCAGGGATCAAATTCCCAACCTTGCACTTGCCAGGCAGGCACTTATGCCATTGAGCTAAATCCTCAGCCCTAATGCCATTCATTTCTAATAACAAAAAAATTTTCAATTCCAAAATTACTTAAATACCTGCAAAACTTGCTTCTGATCCATTCTTTCTTGCCACGCTTTTTCATCTTCCTCTTCTGAACTGAAAGTCAAGCACATGTCTGATTTTAATGACTGCTCACAAAACTACTTCTAGAGTACCAGGTGCTACTAGTTACAGGGCCACAAAAGTAAGACAGCAAAACCCCCATAATCGTAGTGCTGCAGCCTGACAGGGACCATATGTGGGGAAGCAGTTAGAATACGGCCTCAGAAAAGGAAGTTACAGTTGCTTTGGTACAATACGGAGAGGCACTGCTCCCTAGTTTGGGGAATCATGAAGCTTTCTGGAATCTCAACAACTACTCTGATTGGAGTCAGCCACAATCAGTGCAAGGATCTAGCTGAAGGGATGGAAAGGTTCACAGAGAAAGTTTTCCCATCAGAAGAACTAAGTTCGGTAACTATCTGGAAACAAAGAAATGAAAACCCAACCGCAGACAGTATGGAAAACTAAGGGACGAGGTGAGAACACAATTAGAGGCTGGAGTTTTAGCCTAGGGAAATGAGAAGCTGGGAAGGGTTTTTAAAAAGGAAATGACAGTACCAGGTGTGGTTTTCAAAAATATTCCATCCTACAAAGCAGAGACTGGACGTGTCAAGAAGAGGCTACTGCACAAGGGGTAAGACCAGGGACAAACACAGAAGTCCGGAGGCACCTCCAGTAAGCTGAGAAATAAGGTGGTGGCAGCGACAGCAGTGAGGAGAACTGGACTCATGCAAAGCCTGCTCTGTTGGGGAGTCCCTGGGAAAGCGGGTCCGGGGTGCTAAGGACAAAGACAGGCTGTCACGACTTTTAGTTCACCATGCACAGTTCAACAAAAAGCTGCTGACAGCAGCCAGCCAGAGGAGGAAGCAGCCAAGAGCAGCCAGAGAGCCACCGAGAGGGGGTCGGCAGCATCACACAGGGCAGGTGGACAAGTCAATGATACAGCAAAAGGACGCTGGGTGTGGAGTTTCAGGATGGTGGCGGGAAAGAGAACACTAGGCAGAAGCAGTAGAGGCAGTAAGTACATGCAAAGCGTGAGAAAAACTAAAATCCAAGTCTTCCTGCACCTTAAACCCACAGAGTCAGCAGAGGCTCTTTGGTAAGAACAATGAATCTCGGATCACCAACACACAAGGCCAAAGTGCAAAATACTGCAAAAGGTACAGACCACAGGTCCTTCAGCTGCACTGCTACATTCCCTCAAGGACCCTCACGTAGATAAAATATGAAGGCTTAACTCCTTGGAATACCACAACGATTACAGGAATTTTCTTCTATACACATTTACCTGTGTTTTTCCTCCTTCTGTAAGGGTGGCAAAGCATAGATGTCCTCTCTGTGAACTTGCGTGAGACTAGGTAGGGCTTCATTTCTGAAAAGCACAGGTAACTTTACACAGAGATTTGATGCAGCAGACTTTAATCAGTGACCCTCTCCCATCGGTTACGTGAACTCTGCTCCAAGGCAGGGCTCTCCCTGGACCAGTGCTGGGAAGCTGGCAAGTTCAGCCTAAGGAATTCACGGGGGCCACAGCCACAACTGCTGTCAGGAGCAGGAGCTCCACAACAGCAAGAGGTCGGCTGCGCAGTACAGCAGCCTCAGTTCAGCCCGCAGCACTGCAAAAATTACATACAGAAGGGCAGGGGAGGACACGCGAGGAATACTACAGCGTTTATCTATTAGCAAACATGACGCTTATGTAAGAGAGGGGGTTCACAATTTCAAATTACCAGGTCCAATGACACCCTACTTACTTTCCTAGTTTCATTTTTTATTTTCCTATCAAAAGTTAAAATAAGGGAAAGAGAATCACACAAAAATGAAATGCTTTCAAATTAGTCTCTAAAACTAACGTCGTTTTCCTCTTGCCTTTTGCGTTTGAAGGTAGCTTTGATAGCCTGTCTTTTCAAAAAGGTCTGCAGAAGCTTCTCTGTAGTTTTTCTGGAGTCACTGGACGCTAAGTCCTTTCTCTGTCTTCTCTTCGCCTGAAAACAAAAAACATGTAAGATTTGACTTCAAGGCAGTGTGGTCTGTTAAAATCATTTCAGTGGTTTTCTTTTCCTGCAAATTTGATTTGCCTAAATTTCCAGACTATAGTTGTATCAATAAATGTCTTTGAGTTTATGTTATACGAAGGACACCCAGAGTTTCTATTACTTATAAAAGTTTGAGAAAATAGTAATATGTTTTATTTCTGTTAAATATCTTTTAATATGTATGTCACCAAAAGTCTTAGGCACATCATCAAGTGTTTTCTAAAATTACTGTATTAATTTATTCATTGAGCTGTAAACTGATCCTGCTTTTTATAAAAATTCATTACTGGTATATAACTCTGTCCCTCAACATCCAAGATTCTGACAAAAGAACTCCTAAAATCTATAGAAATATCATATAAGACATGTCCGATTTGGGATAAACAGACATTTTTGTGCTTACAGTTGAATGTAACACAAATCACCAAGATGTCCTTTTCTAATCTTTCCAAAATCTATCTGATAAAGACAATCCCTCAGATCACAGAAAACTGCAACATTCAAGTCCAGAGGCAACAACATCCAAGTTACAAATTCTTACTTTTACCCTATGCCCCACTTAACTAAATACTTACTACATGCCTGGTCTGATTATAAAATGATCAGCTGACATTTCAACATACACAAATCTTATATCCAAAATGACGCAATCATCTCAACTGCTTGAACATTTATAAAAACTACTCTCAGAACAGTAAAGAAATTCATTCCCATTTTTTTCCATATATCCAATTAACTTTCTGGATAACCCGCATTGGTCATCACTAGGGCCACGCGGCACTTTTCCTCCTAAAACTCAATGTACCTTTAAAAACAAAAGGCTTGAACCACTAGGGATATTCAATCTCACATTTAGGGGAACATTTCCTACATAGGTTTCCCATAATGTTACAAGCAATGGAGGCATAGTTAGAATGAACGTGAAATACCCAAACAGATTCTACAGGGAAAACTCTCAAGTGTAAAAATTCTAGCAGTTTTCAGTTACATTTTTTTCCTTAGCCTCATGATGTCTCTCATAGAACACACATATCTTTGTAAAAAGTGAATCTGCTTATCTGTTAAATTTTAAGAAGTAGTTGAAACTAAAGTGGCTGTGTATTAAAACCAGCTGGTTTCTAAAATTCTAAGAGGGAGTGCTAGACCCCTGGCCAGGCTCACTGACAGCTCCCAGCACTGTTCAATCCCCAGCATCACGAAAATAAGATAATGGGCATTTAACTGAAATTCTAAAGAGAAAATAAAACTCAGTGATACGTACCAAGGTCTGTTTCTTCAACAGTGGCGCATCCCCATCAAACACAAAGATTGGGCGAATCCGAAAAAACAAGAGTTTGCAGAGTCGATGGAACAAAGTGAGAAGATGTGCGTTTTCGATGGAGTTCCCCTGGCGGTCTCGGACTCCTTTCAGCGCTTGGTTTAACCAAATGCTAATGTCTGAGAGAACCAGTCAAGGAAAACACACAAGAGTTTCTTCCCTGTCCCTCACCATTTCAATTTCCCGATGCGGATGTCCCCGAAGCTACCAAGCAGGTACCACCGCTCACCTGAAACTGAACACCGTCTGGCCCTGCGACTGGACGCCAGTCAGCCTGGTTTCAACCGCTGCGGTCTGCATACTGAATCTTAACACTAGGCAGCATAAACACGGCCTTCAGAAAGGCGTCACAGCAAAGAATCACTTCTTCTAAAAATTAGTAAGCTAGTAACATTTTCCTGGAGGACAACTCTGCAATTCATAGCCAAAAAAAACACCTTAAACAGTGTCATTCTCTTTTTTCCTATGAATTCCACTCCAGGTATTTATGCTCAAGGGATCATTATGATGTATCAATAAGATGTATGTATAAGAATATTTGTTTATAGTGATGAAAACATCAAAAACAAATAAATTAAAAGCTTTAAAACAGGTTTTTTCAAGAACTAAATTACTATCTACTGACTTGCTTGAATGTCAAAGCGTTCTTAAAAACAGAAGTTGCAGAAACATGTTTAGCAACAAGGAAGATAATTCAAAAAAATACTTCTAAAAGAAGTCTAATGGGTCACAAAAAGTGTAACTTGGGCCAGGGGTTTAGCCCAGCAGCACAAGCACCTGCTTGGCAAGTGCAAGGTCCTCAGTTCAATCCCTGGTACCAAAAAAATAAATAAATAAATAACTTATACTTGTTTTGAAGTCCTGTAATGCTCCCACGATCTTGTTTTGACTGATTAGACTCTGTTCCATTCTCTATGATAATATCAAGTTTGAGGGTATAGGCAACTACTTTGAAGGCAATAAGATTCACTAAGTTGCCCATTCTGGTTTGACTGTTGTCTCCTTTGGAAGTCCTGTAATGTTTACAATACCTAAGTTTTATTGGTCTTGTTCCCTACTGTTTTGTCCAACTTTATAATATATAATGAGATAGACTATTCTTTTTAAGGAAACAAGAGACAACTTTGATAACCATTGTTGATAACCTTGTACTCTGTTCTACATCATGTGCTATGTCTATCCTTGGTTTTGACTGACAGCTTTGTTTTCCATATTTGACTTTATTCTCTCCCCCCAAAAAAGTAATAAGAACTAAGGAGTAATAAAATCCAAAAAGTGTAAATTTTGTTGTAAAAAAGAGAGGGGAAAAAAAAGAGCTCTAACGGATATAACAGCAAGTGTGTTTAGGGGTGTTAAATAGCTGACTATATTAATGTTTTTGGATCATTGAACACAGCTGTTTGCAGTCTCTCTGTTTGAATGTCCACTTTGTATTCTTTGATACTGTGATTTGAGCAACTATTTCCAAGATGATAATATGTAATCTATTAGCAGGTGATTCCTTACTATTATGTTTTTTTTTTGTAGTTCTGTATTACGTGTACCCTTACACCGCTTTGTTTTGTTTTGTGTTTTTCTCTTTTTCCTCTTAAATAAAATTAAAAAAATAAATAAATAAATAAATAAATAAATAACTTATAACACATGTAATATATTTTATACAAACAGATCAGGCACTAAAGTACTAAGAGTAATTCTCTAGGCTAAAGTAAAAAACCATTCATATTTTCTTCTTGAAGTTTTCATATATTTTTAAACTTTTCTTAAAAATGCATTTTGTATTTGGCTATAAGGATGAGCCAGGCATGGTGGCGTACACCTGGAATCCCTGCCTCAGGAGGCTGATGCAGGAGGGATGCTGCAAGCTTGAGTCCAGTTTCATAAGGAGACTGTCTCAAACACAAAATGGAAGGAAGGGCAGGAGGACAGAGGAGGGAAAGAGGGAGAAATAATGGAAGAAAGAGCAACCCAGCACCCTGCCTGGGACTCCTGCCCTCAGTCCTGGCCAAGTCCTCCGACTCAGCCAGGCATTTTCTTCACTGATCTCCCTCTGGACCCCCTCTCTCCAGACAGGATAGTCACTGCTCCACCTGACACCTCATGGACACCTCGACGTCACACAAGCCAGCTGCCCAGGCCCCCAGCTCAGCACATGTCACTCCCATCACCTGAGCCAGAACTCTGGGTATCATCCCACCATATGAAATCCCACCAGCTCTGCCTGCAAGCACTTTAAAAGTACTGCATCAGTGGTAAACGCCCTTTCCAGTTTCCTTTGGCCTCTGGCATCATATCCAAAGCTCCTCCTACAACTTACAAAAGCCCAAGGTGACCCGGCCTCTGTTCTTTCTCCAGACACATTTTCAGCCTCTCCTCAAACCTTGGAAATCACTAAGCACCTCCAGCCTCCAGGTCTACCACACACTGTCCTCTGCGTATCTCCTGCTCCGCAGCCTCAGTCTGTGGGTCACTTCCCCAGCCCAGATTAAGAACCACTGGTCTTAATAATATTATTACGTAGTAAGACTTTTTCTAAACACTGGGGCAAAAGTATAGTGATTGTCCCTCTGGAGTTTCCCGTCTAGCAGAGGAAAACCAAGCAGTAAGTGAGTTCCACGGTGCCTGCAGACCACACATGCACACACTCCATCCCTTTCACAGGACTCACCGTATAGCGTGCAGTAAACAGATGGTATTAAATGAGGCAGCTAATATTTAAATAAGTGCACATTGCCTAACTTGTGCTACCAGAAAACACTTAGGCCAATAGACAATTAACTGAGCATATACTACATAACAAAACAAGCAATGGAAGCCTCACTCCTGTAACACTTGAGCTCTCCCATGAGCCAGGCATGTCCAAGTCATTAGGGAAAGGCATCTGACAACACAGCTGCGAACAGAACAGTCCCTATCTTTGAAAAGCTTGCATTCTATTGGGGAGGACAATTAAAAATTAAAGATAGACAGATAGATAGACACCACATTAAATTATAATGGATTTTTCCCATAGAAATTGGTTTGTCTGTGCTTTCACTAGTTTTATCATCGAACAGCTTCAGGTTTATGTTATGTTAAGCACACACAGAATTTCCTATTACTCATACAATGTATTTGAGAAACTACACTAGCTTCTGTTATATGTCTTTTAACACCACTCCAAGGAGCCTAAAACTGAGGTATATAATCAAATAAATGCTTTCCAACATTATTACATTATTTATTACTTACACTGTTAACTTTTTTTATAAAAATGCATGACTTGTATGTAACTCGGCAACTCAATATTCAAGATTCTGTCAGAACTCCTAAAATGCACAGAAATATAACAAATGTCCAGTTAAGGATAAATAGAAGTCTCTGTACATATAGTTGAATACAAAAAATAAGAAAGCATCCTTTCTCCTCTAACCTCTCCAAAAAATACCTAATTAAGAAAAAGCACCAAAATAAAAGGATTAAAAACTAATTGGGAGTTGAAGACTCCTCAGGGAAGGACTAACTAAAGAAGAGAAATCTAGATCCACACCAGTGACCTACAGGAAAAGGGGCAACAAATGCAAATGCCCCAGGGCAGAAGGCATTCCTGTTCAATACCTGCATGACAGAAGAGGATAAATGGCAGGAGCCAAGGTATATGTGGCACAATGTACACAGCTAGATGATTTCCAGATTGTAAAATAGAGATTACTCTAGGGAACACCAGAGACAAATGATAGGAAAACTAGTTTTAATATAGTTGCAACAGCCCACACAAAAATAAATGGTAGTGGTGGTCACCAGAAGTGATTCAGGTCCTTAGAAATAGGAGCTGGCATTATCTGAGATTCACACTGCATTGCATAAATGTTCTGCTTAGGTTGTTTCTGCTTGCTACACTATCATATGAGATGTTATAGCTTGTATCTAGATGTCCCTCCAAAACTTCATGCATTCTTAGGTGGGGCTTTCCAGAGCTGTCTAGACACAGGGTGTGTGATACTGGGATTAAAGGTGTATGGTACCAAATTAGCCCACTGATTGACTGGAATTAACACAGTTCAAGTGTCATCTCAATAGTATTACAAATTCTTAATGTTTTATGAGAGCTTCAATATAAAATGACCCTAAATTTTGCTACAGTTTTTAAGGGTTCTAATAGTTGTCAAAAACTTTTACAATGCAATGATACCCGGAGAGCACTAGAGGGCAACATAGCTCACGGGTTTTAAAATACTTTTCATTTTCCCCAACTTAAGTATCCTTAACAAAACCTTTTAAATACATACAAATATATTTGCATATTATACGGCTGGCAAAAACGGAAATCAAAAAGAATAAAGCTTACACTTTAAAAATTAACTGTGCATCCTCAGTCAATGACTTTACCGAATTGACACACGGGCCAGTTACTTCATTCTCAGACACATGCTCAGAGCTATTACTGTATTTACATAACTTTCTGGTCTCCATTTCGAAAACTCGAATAACCAGTCGAAGGGGTGGGGGATTTATACAACGAATTAAAAAGTCAAAACTCCAAAAACAGTATTGATTTCATAATGAAAAATTTAATACCAATGACACAAGATCAACCAAACACAGGATCGTCCTTAAAAGCCAATCGACAAGAGCTGGGAAAAAAATAATGTAAATCTTTTCAAAGTTTTATCACACGAACTTATTCAAAAGCCACTTTTAAAGGATAAGTTACTGTACCTCTTAAAAAAATAAAATACCTATCAACATTATCCTCCTGCTTAAGAAATGTAAATGGTGAAGACTGCAAATTACAGGCAAAAGCAAAGGTGAGCCATTTGTAGGAAAATGCACCACCTTGAGACAACGTTAAGTGAAATAAATAGGAGACATGAATTTAAATATCTCATGGCTTCGTAAAATATAATAAGCAGCAGAAAGATAGATCTTGGCAAATGGGAAGGGAACCAAGAGATGGAGCAAGGGTGGAAGTAAAAAGAATTTAGATGTGTTAAATCCAAGCACCAAATACCCGAGATAAAAGAAATCATTCTCTACTGCAAACATGTACTAATAAAACAAAAAATTGTTTTTAAAAACCACGGTCAGAATTCTACTTAGTCCACCCGCAGATTCCCACCCGGGATAAGTAAGATTCGCAGTACCGACGGTGCCTGCCCCTACTCCAAACGGCTTTCATTGCAGGAGTTGCTTCGCACTCCCCACACCGAGCTCGCACCCTGCAGATGAGATCAGCAAAACGCAAAGAGGCACCAAGCCCTGGCCCTCAGTGACACACTCAGGGATTTCAGTCCAGAGCTGCACCACCGCAAAGCTGAGGGACAGGAGAGACTGGGGAAACTTCCAGGCGATTCTCTCCGCCAGCGCCGCCTCCCACCCGCAGCGGCGCGCAGGATACCCACGGCGAGCACCTTGCCCTCCAGCGCCTCGGGGCTGACCTGCCGCCCCGAGCTCTCCAGCAGCTTCCACAGCCCCTGGACGCCCATTGGCCGGCGCCTTCCTCGCTAAGCGTCTCCAGGGACCCTGTGCTCCTAATCTGTGTGCTCGAGGTTGCGTCAGCACCCGGGAACCCGGGAGAAACGGCGAGTCGGAAAAGATGACAAGAGAAACCACAGTGGCGAGGAAGGGGAAGCTCTGCCCTGCTGCTGATCCCGCCCCCTGGAAGAAAGAGCGGCCCACAGAGGGCCGGCGGTGGGGAGGAGCAGAGCCTGGGCACGCCCTGCACTTAAGTGCAAAGGTTTACACTGTGTGCTTGGTAGAAGACGGGGATGAGCGCGCAGCGCCAGCTAGCCAAACAGCTGCAAAAGACCCGGCTCATAGCAATGGTATACGCTGGTGGGTCACTAAACGCCTACAGATTGGGACCTCTCGCATTCCGTCGAACAGGACGCGCGGGACGGAAGTCCCGCCTTATGTAATGACGTATATCCACTGCGACTGCTGCGCTGCGGAAGTGAGTAACAGGATTTCTAGTCAGTGTTTGTATCTTGGCGGACCTGATCGCCCTCCTTGTCAGACGCTTATCGCCGTTAAACATAGTAAAAGCATCTGCACAAGGTCTTCTTGTTGAAGTGACGATTTTTACTCGCCTTTTCAGTATCGACTAATGCCCACCGAGCTGCCAGTTCTGAACACTTGCCAAGTATTGTGTTACTCGTAAAGAGACAACAGAGAGGTGGATCCTTTTTCGGTATTTCAGAATTGTTCGTTGCAGTAGCGTGTAATAACTTGCAAATAATACAATTCAGAGTTTTTCTTGAAATCTTTAGTTTTTCCCAGCATCTAAAACAAGTTTCCACAACCTGCGGTCAGAAATTTCAAGAAATTAAGTCCCAGAATAGCTCCAGGAAAAAATCTACCTTGTGAACACTTGGGTCAAGATTCAAATCTCAGCCATATCTTAATTGTAGTCTCTGGCATTGCTGAAATCACACTCGGCCAGAGTTTTCTTCTTCACCTGTAACAGCACAAAACCAATATTGCAGACTTTTTAAAGTAAGGATTAGAGGCAATATATGGAAAACAGTATTAGCTACTCAAGAAATGATACTATTAGCACGCATATTTGTTCACATTTGCCCTACTCTATAGAAACTAGATTCAAACAAAGTTAAAAAGTCGATTTAAAATAATCCTTTGTACTAGAACTACGTCAGAAAAGTGTTTAGCAAAACCATTTCTCTATCTAAATAGATGGTTCATGGTAGCCACATTGATCGGTAATGAATCTGACAGGGGTGTTGTTTGTTTTTTGGTTTTTTTTGGTGTTTTTTTTTGTAGTTTTCTCATGTGTAATCTACAGAAACTGTTCGAGTTGTATTTTACTGAGAATAAAATAACTGCCTGCCTAATTATTGTCTCCTCCCATAGTCGACTACAAATTTATTGAAACCAAGAACTATCTAGACTGTTATATTCCCCTCTTCAGACATAGAACAAGAATTTATAAATGCTGCCTAAATGACCTTTTAAACTTACTCTCCTGTGCACCTTCTACCAGAAGAAAGAATGGCTCTCATATTATGCAGATGTTAGCTCCCATCTTGTTTGAAGCATGTATTTATACTGTGTTTTATGGGCTGAATTCTATACTCTACCAAAATTCATATGTTGAAATCCTGTTACCTGTACTTTAAAGGGTGGTTCAGGTGATAAAGATCTTGGAGGGTATATTTCAGTGTACAGTGCTTGCCTATCATGCTCAAGGCCCTCAGTTCAATCCCCCTTACCACAAAAATAATGAATATGTAAATAAATAAAGCTATTAAGGTGGCATTTAAACCACCCTGCCTGATCTTATGAGAATAGGAAATTTGAGCAGTGATTCCAAGGATTCCCACACAGAGAAAAGGCCACATAAAGATGAAAAGAGGAGGTGGTTATCTCTTAAGTTGAAGAGGCCGAAAGTAAACCAAGCCTGACAACACCTTGTCAAGACAACTTTTAGCCTACAGAAATGTGAGAAAGTATTCTGAGTTTTTTTTTAAATACCCAGTCGTTGATATTTTGTCATAGCAGCTTTAGCAAACTAAGGTCCTCTGATCCTAGTAATGTTTCTTGATCAGTGATCTCTTCGGTTCCTGACAGGAAAATGGGAATACCACCAACTTCCCAGAGTCATTCTGAGATCCTAGTTTTAACATGAAACACCCACTAGAAAGTGATGTTCCTGTTAGTTTTGTGGAGGGACTGATTTGGTAGGGTGGAAATTCTGTGGGTGGAATTGAAGCATGTAGTGGGTCCCGTAGCAGCTGTCTGAACCATTCCATGTCTGAGACACTGAAAGTTGAAAAGAATTATACCTGCTACACCAACTTGACCTACTGAGGGACATAGCTGTTTTGTTTAGCAGCGCTCTACCGGTGACACTAGTGATAAAAGGAACAGTGAGAAGTTTTTACCTGAAAGCTGGGTAAAAACAAGCAGGTAATGTAGACATTTGAGTACTGTAAGTACTTTAAAAATCAAAGCAATATTCTTTTTAGACAGGGTCTTGCATCAAATTTGTGGCATCCTCCTACCTCAGCCTCCCAAGTGCTGAGATTACAAGCCTCTACCACCTAGAAAAAGCAATACTTATTTTATAAAATTATTTTGAGTGCACAGAAACTGATGTGTGTATTTTGTTCACAAGACATTATCTCCTTTAGATGGTTTTTAAAGAATTTTCTGTAAATAACTTGAATAGTAAACAAATCTTATAGAAAAATAACTAGCACTTTCTATTTTCAAGGCACTGTTCTAAACACTACATGTAGCCTAGTGGCACATACCTGTAACTCTAGCACTCGAGTCTGAGGCAAGAAGATTGCAAATTTAAGCCCAGGCTGGACCACTTAGTATGATACCAAGACTGTGATTAAAAATTTTAAACATGAAAAGAGAGCTGGGGATGTAGCTAAGTGTGAAGACCTTGGGTTCAATCCCAGGTACCACCAAAAGTAAGTAAATAAGTGAAAATAAACATTACATGTTTTAGCTTATGTATTGTTGCCAACCGTTTCCCCATTTTACTTAATGAGGAAATTTGAACATCTTAACTCTCCTGAGGTGGGTAATGCCAGTAAGTACAGAGCAGTTTTTGAAATTTCATTGTATCTATGGATAATCCTAAGAGTTAACCAAGAATTTAAATAGGACAAGAATGTTACTAGTCTTGAAAGGAGGATGCAGTAACTCTTACCTACCATTTGTGGGCAAATAGTTCTACTAAACTTAAACTTCACTGTGCTCTGCACAACTGCCACACTTGTAAGCAAACTTTAAGCTATCACATATATTAAGACTTTAATTTTAAAAATTGGATATAGTCAGGATGCAGGCTGAATAAACATCCTCCTTTCCTAGGCTTACCCTATTCTTTAATATTTTACGTTGCGTTTTCTCCTTTCCACTTGTCTCTTTCTGCCTTCATCTTCTCTGAAATATTCAGCTGAACTATGTGAATAAGTTATATTTAGGACTTTTTGGCCTACAAAAATCACAACTTTGTTTATTTCAAACTAATACAAGAATGAAAATTTCTATTTCCTATTATAGTCGTACTGAAATTTAGAATTGTACCCATGATAATATAATTTCATTGATTATAAGCAATTCAAGATGGTTTCTTATACTAAATAAGGTATCTAGGGGATCAGATAATGAGAATGAGGGCCTAATTGACCTTCTCTGCAAGCCCAGAGGAGAGAAATAGCAAGCTGTGCTCCTTTGGCAACATGCAGGCATGTTGGCATGTTGCAGTTTCAGGGAAGAGGCAAGATCTAGTTGAGATCTATTTGTGTAATGGGTCATATACTGTAGATAACAGGAGGCAAAGTCTAAGTAAATAAAAAAGAAGTGAGCCAGATACTCAGGGCTATTTTGTTTTCCAGAGGCAAAGACACCCTGGCCCCCACATTCTATATTAATTCTGTGCTTTTTGTCCAACCTTATTTGCTCCCCTCCCACTGACTTGAACATTTAATGATTGTTCTGCAGAAAGACAGGAACCAGTCTATCAGTTTATTCCACATTCCGAAGCAGCGCAGACTGTTGTGTTTCAACTGGCTCTTGAGAATGCTAATAAGGACTATAAACAGGTGTTAGGGGCCATCTGAGTGACTAAAATCTTGGAAATTGAAAATATGCTGAGATGTTGGTTGTAAGCCCTCAATATTTACTCACATATTTAATTAAACAAAATCAGGCTTCTTCAAAAATATATTTTAACTGTGGCAAAATAGGACATGTTTGTAAACAGCCCCAAACCAAAGAGAATGCAGCCATCCCTCGCCCAAGGGGAAAGTGCCGGGCCTCTGCCCTAGATGTTGGGGAGGGAGAGGTCATTGGGCTAATCAGTGTCATTCTAAATATATTCAAAATGACTAAATATTTTCCCACTGGCAAGAAACAGGATGTGGTCCTGGCCCCAGGCCCAGCAAACAACAGGGGTATTCTCAGTATAGGATTACAGCCCAATTCCTCAGTGGTCTCTAGTGGACTTTTAAGTCCCTTGTCACCAGAACCCTAGGAAGCTCGAGATTAGACTTCCTGCTGCTGAATCGGTGACCCTGACTGACAGAAATACCCTGTTAAAATCCCCACTGGAATATGGGGACCTCTTGTCTTAGATACTGTGAGTTTAGTCTTAGGAAAAAGTAAGTTGAACCTATGGGGTGTTGGGGTACTTCCTGAGATTATTGATTCAGACTATTTGGGAGAAAAATAGGTTTTGGTTCAGTAACATGATATCTGGGTTTTTGTTTTTGTTTTTGTTTTTGTTTTTATTTAAAGAGAAAAAAAGGAAATAAAAAATTTTTTTTATTTAAGAGGAAAAAGAGAAAAACACAAAACAAAACAAAGCAGTGTAAGGTTACACATAATACAGAACTACAAAAAAAAAACAGTAAGAAATCACCTGTTAATAGATTACATATTATCATCTTGGAAATAGTTGCTCAAATCACAGTATCAAAGAATACAAAGTAGACATTCAAACAGAGAGACTGCAAACAGCTGTGTTCAATGATCCAAAAACATTAATATAGTCAGCTATTTAACATCCCTAAACACACTTGCTGTTATATCCGTTAGAGCTCTTTTTTTTTCCCTCCCTCTCTTTTTTACAACAAAATTTACACATTTTGGATTTTATTACTCC